AGCACTGAGAAAAATTACTCAACGATAGAAAGAGAGGCTCTAGCAGTGAAATTCGGGCTTACGAAATGTAAGGAATATCTGATAGGAAAAAGGTTTTTATTGTATGCGGACCATAAGCCGTTGGTAGATTTATTTAAAAAAGAGAATAAGGAACTTATGATTTCACCCAGGTTGCAAAAATGGCTAATTTTAGTTGGTAATTTCGATTTTGAAATAAAATTCAGAGAAGGTAAACAAAATTGCTTACCGGACATTTTATCAAGATTGTTTAATAAAGACATTGAAGACAAAGAACCAGTAATCAATAATTTAGAATATATAGAAGAAGAAAATGTAAATGGTAATATTATAAGAGCGGTGAGAATAGATACAAGAGAAAAACCTATAACATTTGATATAGTAGATAAGATATCCCAAAAAGATGAAGAATTAATAAGAATTAAAGCATGTTTAAAAGGAGATATAGAATGGAAAAATGAAGATAAAGCGTTTAAAAAAGTTAAGAGTTAATTAAATATAGAAGACAATTGTTTATTGAGAGGATATAGATTAGTGATACCGAATAAATTAAGAAAGGAAACCTTAAATGTAATACATTCAGGTCATCAAGGCATAGAAAGAATGAAAAATAAAGCAAGAGAATATATGTGGTGGCCTAAGATGAATAAGGAAATAGAAGAGTTAACAAGGAGCTGTGAAACCTGTAACATGTGGGCTAATGTTCCAGCAAAGAATAAGGAAGATAAATGGCCAAAGACAGATATTCCATGCGAAAGAATACATGTAGATTTTTTAGAATATGAGAAGAAAAGATTTTTTATCATGGTAGATGCAGGTTCAAAATGGATAGATTGTCAGCAAGTTTCAGGTTCATCAACAAGAGTAGCTTTAGACAAGATAAAGGATTTTGTAGGCAAATATGGTTTGATGAAGACGATAGTATCAGATGGAGGTCCAGCGTTTAAAGGTAGAGCATTTGATAAATTTTGTGATAGGTGGAATATTAGACATTTATTATCACCACCTTATTACCCAAGAAGCAATGGACAAGCTGAACGAATGGTAGCGTTAGTAAAGAGTTGGTTGAAAAAGGCAAAATATGGAGAAGGTCAATGGTGGTTATCATTGTTAGCATACAACAGTACGGAAACAGCAAAAGGAAAGTCACCAGCTGAAATATTTTTAGGAAAAAGACGAGATCAGAATTAGATTTTTTAAAGGAAAAAGTGATAAGGAGAGAACAAGCAGAGAGTGAAAGATTTCCAGTAGGAAGTTTGGTGTGGGTATTGTTGTTTGATGGGCCTATTAAATGGGGGAAGGGTGTAATAAGCAAAAATATAGGAAAGAAAAAAGTAGAAGTAAAGATTGAAGGATAAGAAGGAACCTTTAAAAGGCACTTGAAGCAAGTAAGATGTAGAAGCTTAAGGCCTTAGAGAGAAATGAGAAATATACGAAGAATTAGAAAGGAATAAATTGATGATAGACATAGTAGGAGAATCATAATTTGGAAAGGAATAACGTGATGATAGACATAGTAGGAGAATCATACGTTGTAGGAAATAAAAGGGATGTTAGACTTAATTAGGAGAGTTATATTTTATAAAGAGTTAGAGAAGAAAGTCGAAGAATATATATATATATGTGTATAAAGTATTTTATTTAGATGGCCTCCTATGTTAGAGTGGGTAACTGAAGATAGAGATAAGAGAGGTTGATGGTTCAGAAGAATCCAACAGATGGGTAGAAGCCGCTAGGAACGAAGCGAAACAAAGATACGGAGATTGGCTACAAGATACGCCAACGAGAGGGGGTCGCAGAATAGCGCCGTATACCACAAGAAGGAGAGTGGAATGCTGGGCGTGCGGGGGGGAACACAAACTTAGGTTTTGCCCAAGTATAGAGTTGACAACGAATAGTAATGCGAATGCACCAGGGAGGAACAGGGTGACCTCGGCAAACACGATGGAGTTAAGGGAGAATTAAAGGGGGGAGATGTAGTATTATGTAAATTTAAGATGGTACGAAATTTAACATTTTTATAATTTTGTTATTATGTATATTTAACATTGTACGAAATTTAAGATTTTTATATTTGAATAATAATAGTTTAATATTTATATGTTTATTCTTCGAAAATTGGTAATATTTGTACTAGATTTAAGATTTACATATTTGAATAATGAGATTTTAATTTTATACATTTGATTCTTCGAAAATTGTTTAATTTTATATATATATATATATATATATTTTCAATTCTTAAAAGTTCAGTTTTTGGACAATTTTGATTCTTCGAAAATTATGTTATTATTTTTTAATTGATGATATTTTGAAAATAAAATTAATAAAAAAGGAAAGAGTTAATAAAGAAAAGGTAAATATACAATTTGATAAATTAGAATTCTCAAGGGTAAGTAATTAAACATCATTATTATTAGAATTAAACTTTTATTTTAATAAAGAAAGATTTAACAAACTTTGGATTCTTAATTGCTCTCCCACTACTGATTAAACACCCTGAGTTAAGTTCGGAATTATAACAATTTCTAAGTATTTTAAAATATACATACAGATTTAGAAGCAGTAAATGTTAACAATATAAATATTTTTATTAATCACTTTTTTTGAACTCTCTGGTTGAACTTTAAGTGGCTCGTGGCCAAGGTTCTCAAATATTTAAAATGTGGAATAATGTTTTAACATATCCATTGGGGAAATTTGCACCAATATGCCACCTTTGATGATTCCACTTATGGCTTAAACTTTTGAACTTAGTAATATTCATTTTTTTTAAGTATTTCTAAATAAATTAGAAAAATAAATAAAAATAAAGTTGATGATCAGAATAATTATTTCTTTTTAAGATACCTTCAAATTTTGATGGGAGGACATTGATGAGCACAATACAATGACAGTTTATATTTGAAAAAAGGTTTGGGAGGCGGATGAGGTTGGGAAATAGGGATTTCAGGATTTCTATCTGCAATATTTGTCGAGGGATGAGAAAGGTTTAAAAAAAACTGCTGATCCTCCATATACTGTAGAAGAACATTACATTGAAGTGATTGGATACAAGAGGTAGATTATTTTCAAATGAAAGGATATTGCCTAGGGAAAGTAGAGAGACGGAAAAGTTTAAGACTAGATATTAAGAGCAAGATATACTTTGGTGAATAGGTCGGTTTTTTTTGTGTAAAAAGGAACAGGGTTGCCCTAAAACGGCTAAAAAAATTATGGGTGTAACAGGAATAAGAATGTTCAGACGTCAAAATCTAAGGATAGGCAAATTGGTTTGGTCACTTAGAAAGGATTGCGAACGAATATATAGGAAAATAAATATAAGAAGTTGAAGGTAACAAATAAAAATTGAAATGCCGACCTAATCCTATGAAAGAGTTGCTGAATGACAGAGATGCATGTAGGACAGGAATTAAGGGTTCCAAAAGAAATCTAGCAATTTATATTAATGATATTAGATAAGATTATTATTTTCAATTGTAATTCAAATATATATTATATATAAAATAATGTATACTCGAATATTAGAAAATTATGCTAGAAATATGCAGATTTTTGTTTTTACGTTAATTCAATTTTTTTTAAAATTTATTTTATTATTTTCTTAAAATAGTTTCATTCTATTTCTGAGCTAGTCTACTTCCAATTTCATTTGAAAATAACTGAAAGTTCAAATTCAAAATTAGATTTGACTTAGCTTTATTATAATAAATTCTATCCTTAGAATCTATAATAACTCTTAAGAGTTAAATTAGTGCTTTAAGGTTTTCCTCATTCGATTTGAAAAGAAGGGTCTTTTCTGATATCACTTTTTTATTTTGGTGATTAGAGAATTTAAAAGATGGTTGTTTATTAAAAAATTCAAACACAAGATAAACTATTAAATATTTTTAGTTCCTGAACACTCTTGATTTTCAAGCAAATATCTTGAAAAACAATTAAGAATTAGAATAAATTTTTCAAATAATCAAATATTATCATTTATATTTCTACAGAAGTTAATATGGTGCTATTATATTAGTTATTAATTTATATTAAATGCATCAAATGTGTTTAAGAATTTTGAAATTAATGATTTCTCTTAATGAAATTTAGAATTTATCTGTCATATGGATTTAACAAATAATAATTTTTATTTTGTTCTTCATAAAATGTGTTTAATTTAAAATGCAAAAAACATAGGGCTTAGGCCTAAAAATTTAGAAAATTTTGGGCCAGGTTTGCGATTAATAGAGTACAAGCAAAAAATTGAATTTAGAACTAGTCTAATATTTTTTTACTTTTGTTTTGAAGAAATCTATCATAAAACATAAAGATACAAAATCGTTCCATTTGAATTATTAAAAAACGCCTAACTCAAGAATTTAACCAGAAAAATATTGACTAAGCTTCGAGATTTTTCTAATAGATGTCCAAACCTTTGTACCCGCTATGACCAAAATCTTCAAGCTTGCATAATACTTTTTGGATAATATACTGAGTTAGGGAGTGATTTCACGTCACTAATAAAATGAGTAAGATAGGAAAAATGTAGGCTCAAAAAGAATTCACAAATGAATATAGCAAGATTTTGTTCATTTCCTTGTTTTTTATTCATGATATCAATTATTGAAAAGGATAAATTTAAAATTGATATTTATTCTTGTATGAGATAGGCCATTATTTTATTTATGATGTTACTGCTCCCTGGTTAAGGCTGTCCTATTCATTTGTTTGTAGTTTTTGTTAATGAAGAAATTATGATTGTATTTATCTTTTAAATAAATAAAAAATCAAATAGCTATATAGAGGGAAATAATTAAATTACATAATCCCATGCCTATATAACTTGAATCTATTCAATTTTTAAATTTAGGACATACATAAATGAATGACAATTTTCTGAAAAAGAAGCCTATTATCTTTTTATCACAACAGCGTAAATCATAGATATTTAACACTATTTTTTTCGCATTTTATTTTTCAGATTATATCAATAATAGACAATATTTATTTTTTAATGATTTATATATATATAAATAAACAAATTATTATATAAATATTTTATATAGTTTAGGCTTTAGTATATTTTCCCCAAAGATGTAATAAAAATACAGATGCTATAAATAACAAGCTCATGACTAATACTGGAACTGGTCCCCTACATAAATGATTAATTTAAAACAAAAAACTTTAACATACACTTTAATTCCTGGTGAATCATCTGTATAAAACCTCCACATAGCTCCAGTATTTGCAGCTGTTCGTCCCCTTGAAACATTAGATGATGTTACCGTCTTTCTGAGAAAGTAAATATTTAGATATATATACAAGTAATAATTTTAACCTTTGTCTTGTGCCACTAGTACCTGCACTCATTCTCGGGATTCCAGTTTTAGGGCCAGATTTTCCGCCTGAGCCTACAGTAGTAGAACTTGATGATATAGTCTTATAAATATATTATATTATTATATAAATAAGTAATGTACCATGATATATCTGATTTGATGCTAAACGTGTAAGAAAATTATTTTTTAATCTTAGCAACACTAAAATCAGCGAGGAAAGTTTAATTAAAATCATGCAATTTTTAAAAAATAATTACCAAGAAAGCTTAAAGAACTGATATCTCTGGCTATATAAAAATTATATAATGATATATACAAAAAAAACAACAAATTTAATCTTTTATTTATAATTCTACAAAATATATAATAAAGAAATTTATTTTGGAAATTTAGGAATTTTAATAGACATTTTGTCGTAAATTTTTTTTTATTGATGCCATTCTTAAGATCATCAACTCCCTTTGATAATGACATAGGTTTAATAAAATATGTTAAACAATGCTAGTTAATCATTATAGAGAAAGCTACTAGTGAAAATAATACTGAAGCAGATTGGGGATATATAATAAACATTTGTGACAATGTCAATAAAATACCAGATGGGTAACATAATTTTTAGCCCCATTTATTGTATTTGAAATGATTTTAATTTGTCTACAGGCATAAGATATGTATTAATTCTTTAAAAAAGCGACTTAGAAGTCAGATACCAAATGTAGTCTTGCAAACATTAACAGTAATCATTATATCTGTTATGTATATTTATTTGCCAAAGGTGTTGGATTCATGTGTAATCAATTGTGGACAAGCATTTAAATTAGAAATTGCTACTAAAGATTTTTCTAATGAACTTAAATACCTTATTACTAAAGTAATTTATAGATATAATTAATAAAAATTCTAATTTGCATAAAGGGTCATGGTAAAGTTTCACTAAAAGCTAAAGAACTTATTAAAAAGTGGGCTCATGATTTTAAAGATGATCCTGCTTTATTGTATTCTATTTTTATTTCCTATCATATCCAATATTTATTTTAGTTTAATACCATCATTATATAATCAATTATTAAGAGATGGCATAAGTTTTGGCTCCCCTAAAACAGTAATACATTGTTTGAATTAAATAGTTGCTTAATAATTTAAATAATTATTATACAAAATGTAAAAAAAAAGTGTATATTGTGATCAATTTATAAAACTAGGCAAAAAAAGTTTTAAAGACAAATAACCCTGATTTTGTTGAAAGTAAAGAAGAAGAAGAAGATATTGCAAAGGGTACAAAGTTCATAATCTTACTACTAATATTAAAAAATTATTTATTTCTATTACTTTACATAGGTTAAGAACTATTAAATTTGTTAACAAAACACATAATATTTGGCTTATTAAGATTTACTTTCTTTAGATTTATTTATACATATATTGAATACTTTTGTAATTATTTATTGAATTTTATAATGTATACTTATTATTGTTTAAAGCTATCCATTTGTCCTTGAAAGATTCTAAAATGTCAACTGTTCCTGTTCTCATTGTAAAGCCAGATGATATCTCATCTTTATTATATCCTTCCACGAATCCTACAATATCTCCTGGAAATTTAAATTATGGTACCATAAAAAAATTGCCTATACCATTAGCTCGAGCCCTTTATGATTTTGAAGCAGTTGAAGACAATGAAATAAGTTTCAAATGTGGAGATAAAGTATTTGTTTTGGATAGTAGGTTTACACAAAAACACTTATTTGAACATTTGATAAAAAAATTTCTATAAAATTAAATGAATGTTATTATTTTAAATATTTTGTTTGAGTTTCATACCAAATATCTATCTTTAGTGATGATGAAACAATCCTAATTTTTTTGTTAGCTAAGTACCTCTCCTTTGCATGAAAAAAATTTATATTTAGTAAATTTTTTTGTAAATACAATCAAATTGAGAAATTTTTATATTTGATATTAAATATAATCGTTAACAAATTATATTTATAGTTTCCAAATAAAAATACACAGTTTTTTAAATATGATTTTACACCATTTTTGCAGTTTTTAAATAAATGCCCAGTTTTATAATTATTTTTAATAAATGCTCAGTTTTATAATTATTTTAACAGTTTTAAATTAAATTATCAGTTTTACTAATTTTATTAGGCCCCAAATGCACTACAATCGGTCAAATTTAACAGAATCTTATTGGCTGCTTATGAACTATGCAGTTTAGGCTAAGGTTTGATACTAAGCTATTGGACCATTTTAGAAGTTAGTTTAGGGCTATGCAACAAAGATAAGAGTTAGTGTTTATATAAGATTATGATAAATAATTATTTTATTAAAGCCAGACCCATTAATTTCTGTAAAATCTAACAGATACATGACAGTTTTTATAATTTTTTACCAAACTCCGCAGTTATGGCTAAAGCCTGATACCAGGCTCTTAGACTCAATGGTTAAATTACGTGCAATAAAGTTAAGTGTTTGTATTTTTATTAAATCAATAATAATTTTTTGAAACTGTGAAAACATGAATTAGATTTTAAAACTGTGGAATTAATTATTTAATTCTGTCAATTTCGATTACTGCAATTATAATACATTATATTAGTTATATTAATGAAACAACTAAACAAAAAAAAATTAATGATATCCAATATATACCAATTTTGTTGAATAAATTATACATTATCGCATTTTATAACTCCCATATTTTGTTAAGGTTATGTTCAAAAGATTTAAACATTCCATTTGAAAATTTTATCGAAAAACATGAATCTTTTTTATAAAAAAATAATAATATTAACAAATATTTGTAAAATTTTCAAAATTTTATCATTTGGTATGCAACTTTTAAAAGTTTTATAAACTTGAAATATTTTAAACAGGTTTTGAATGCAACCAACTTTTTTTTATAAGAAAAATAATTTTCACAAATTAATTTTTCAAGATTTCATTAAAATTGAATTTATGCCTATTTTTTTATTCTTCTGTTTATAAAATAGTCTTAATCATTTTTTCCGTTTCTTTATTTTCTCTAATAATTATTAATCAAATAAGAAATAATTATCAATTTAGTATAAATTTATTTGGACCTTCTGAAACTACAAATAGTATAATTTTAAATTTTTTTAGCTGAGTTTATAACCTTCTTTATAAAAAGTTACTAGATCTGGTTGCTTAATTTTTTTTCCTATAAAAGATTCTGACCTTGTTCCTAGAAATTTTAAGAAAATGCTCTGGTTTTCCTTATAAGACTTGGCTAATGAAAAAACTACAATTTTTTTCGGTAATAAATTATACAAATCATATTAATTAATAGAATTAAAGAAATTTTATTTATTATTTTAAGAAATTTTTATAATTTTTATTCAAATGATACATCTAGTTTAGTTTTTTTTCCCTTCTTTTTATGTTTGAAAAAAAACTTTTTCAAAAAATTGTTTTTTACATCCTTAGACTTGGCCCAGTTTTATTTTAAAAAAGTTCATTATTTATTCAAAAATTGATTACATTTTTTTAAAAAAAAATAATATACTTATTAAATAAGTTTCTTTTGTGTTAGAATCCATTCCTTGAAATTTTATGACAAATGTCCCCGATTTTTGGTTTAAAGGGGATAGGGTGGGGATTATTCCAAAATTCAGATATTTTTTAATGCATTTGGGTTTAATATTTTATACTTGCATATATAATATCAAAACTATATTATTTTATAATCTTGAAAGATTATTCCCGGTTCATTATTTTTATTTTATCATTAATAATTTAGTTTTTCCTTCACTCCTTGTGGAGTTCAAAGTTAGCATCATATTTTTTTTCTTTCCATTTATATCTGTCTACACGGTATATGATAGAGGTGTACAGTTCGAGCCCGAATTTGCTCTCTATAGATCCGATCGATTTTGAAATCCGCCGGATAAAATGTTAATTTAATTATGTATTTCATTAAATAATTTTATCTAAACTATAGTTGTAATATGTAATTTTCTTTATTTCTATTTTCTATAAATATTTTCTATGTCATATTAAAAAATTACATATTGATGTTCACTATTTTTCTCTTCCTATATATATATATATATATAGAAAAGACCTGTAGAGGTACCATTTGTAAGGCCCGGCCCGGATTTATTTAAATTACATTTATTTTTAATTTTTATAACTAATAGTGGCCATTTAAAATATTCGGTTTTATAATATACATAAAATTAAAATACTGGCCGGGCTTAGGGCCGGACCTGTAGATCTCTGATACTTAGTAAAAACATATTTGGTGAGTTTCATCGTTTCAAATTAGGCCCTTCTCGAAACTGAAAATAATTTTGGTATTTTTTTAACGATAATTTTAAGGATTATAAAATGATATATATACAATGGGCTTAATATTTATGTAGTAATTTGGGATTATGAGATTTATTTAAACAAAGATGGTGCCCTTATTTGACTTTGAAGGCCCGTAACCCCAATTTTTGATAACTATACCTTTAAAATTTTGATTTTTATAAAATATACAATCTGTTTAACATTCATAACAAGCATTTTAAAGCTGGCCGCCCGAAACACTGGGTGATTTGCTATCGAATTACTACCCAACTATAAAATTGATTTAAATTGAACATATTTATTATTAGTTTAAATTTTTTTAGAGCATTTGATTAAATCAAATAACTTTTAATCAATTAGCCGTTTTTAATTAATCAAATTGTCCGCTTGTTTACCTTGGTACAACCCTATTGAGTGCTAATGTATTTTGCGAAATTGGTGCTGATTTTATAAAAGGGGCGATACGCCCTTAAGATTTTTTTTAAGAAATCTCTATCAAATTTTGCAAATTAAAAAAAAATATATGATGAAAAATCACAATTTTAAAAAAAAAAAATCAAACAGTTCAAAAAATTTAATATAAATCTGATTTATATACTTTAAAAAAATACCTTATTTTCAAACTATTCTTTTTTTTTCTTTTTTTGGGAAATTAGTGATTCTAATTGGTGGAGAGGCAAAACTGGTGATACCCAAAAAGAGGGCTTGTTCCCTGCCACGTTCGTCAAATTCATAAAAAATGAGGAAGACGATATGAAAGAATTCCCAATTGCATCAGATGAGCTCAGAAATAGTGTGGTCAATGGCAAAGACTCGATTAGATCCGCGAACATTATAGATGAAGTACATTCTTACTACTTTTTTTGAAACTGGAGGGATCGAATACTGGACCAATTCTTAAATAGTATTTGATTCAATTTTGTAATATAATTATAAAGTTCGGTCTTTTGGTTTATTGTCCTGAACCGCCTTTGACTCACCGTTGTATAAAAGAAACTGTATACTAGATCGATTTTCGAAAAAAAATACCTGATATTTTAAATCTTTTTCGGCCTGATCCGGGTTTTTAATATCAATATTAGGTATGGTCACTAATTTTCACTATTTCTGATAGACTATCACCTCCCAATATACTTTTTAAATAATATAGAACGTTTTAGACGAATGCTTGACTCTATTGCACCTCGCCGATCCAACTGGAAAAATTGAAGATCCTACGGAGATGTTTGCCACAGAGAACAAATCTTTGGCCATGAGTTCGCTTATCGACCAGGAATTAGAAAAGGTTAATTTTTCTAATGAAAGTTTAAAGTTAAATTGAGTGGAAATGAATTATTTACTATAACCCTTAATTGTTCTCATACTATCAATTATAAATTACTCTCTCACACAATAATCTAGGTTGATGATTGTCACGCCAAATTGTTTGAACTGAATCGCAAGCTTAACGAAGCCTTCAAATTTTATAATTACCTTTTGACACCCGTCTCAGCCGTTAATGCGGCTAATATGCTTCATAATCAATCTCAACAACCTACTGTCTCAAATCAAAATAATCCTCCAGTAATATCATATTTGTCTTTTTTAAAAAAAAAAATAATAATATCATTATTTTTATTACAAATTAAAAATATTTAGCTATAGCAACCTCCTTCTCGGTTTCCTTTACGTGTTTTAAATTATACTCACATTTATAAAAAAATTATATAATCAGGAAACCTTTCAATCGCCTCCTATTATGAACAATCTCCAAAATAATGTCAATTCACCGTACATAGCACAGAATCAAGAAATCGCAAATACAATTCCCTCGTATATGTATCAAAACGCTGCCCAAAATTTCCATAATATCGATATTCCTCCCAACTATCAATTAGCCGATTATAACAACCAATCGGTTAGCATGAACATGCCTAATCCAACTTTCCAACCTTCAGCTAATATCGTTAATTCCATCCAACCACCACACCAATAAAATATCATCAATTTATATTTTATTGCAGCAATAACTAGCGCTTTACTTTACTACAAATTATTCACTTGCCAATTTTAAAAAAAAAATTCTTATATTCAATTTAATATATAAATAAGTCGATAATTTATATAATATTTTATAATATGATCATTATTATTTATTTATAATAATAATAATATATTCGTAACTATTTTTTATTAAAAATTTATAGAATTTTTTTAAATATCATTAAACATATTTAATACTAAATATCGTTTACAAATAGCATTATTTACATATACTTTATTGCACTATATGTATAGTCATTAAGGCAAAAATACGACATTGACTGAAAATTAAAATTGTAACATCGCTAAGCTATGCTTTTTTATAGATGTAATAGATGTCTTAAAGTGCTGCCAACTTTTTTGCCAAACGTTTTTTGGGAGCTCTCCTTCTCCGTCTCTTTGGCTTTCACTGAGCTATTATTAATCAAAGAGTTCTGTTTAAATTGTAATTTATTCTAAAATTTTATTTTAATTATTTTTACCGCGACTTTTTCTTTGTACAGGTATTCTAATCTTTCGGTTAGCTCCGCGAAATTTGGTCTCTCATCTGGTTCAGCCAGCCAACACCATTGCATGATTGAATATCTTTTTTAATTTAAAAAAAGAAGAAGTGTTTTTCTTATTTAAATATTTTATGCTAAGTGCATAGCCAGGAATTTGCTTTGGAGGGGGGGGGGGCGATTTTTAAATATATATATCTAAAATGAACATTAAAATTTATTAGGGATTAGTGACAAAAAGTTTTGGAAATTTCTTGCCTATATGATCTGTAAAATTATCAAATGTATATTTATGTGTTTAAAATATTTAATTTTATATAACCTGCATAACTCCGATTTTTAAAATATAAAAACTGAGTTTCGCTGTGAAATGAAATGTAACTGCTAAATATGATACTATTACATATATATATTATTAATCACCCTTAATATATATGTGATGAAAAAAGAAAAATTTTATGAGCAGAAAAGTCCAATGAATTTTCTTTACCCGTTTTTATTTCAATTTAGATATTAATTTTTTTATCATAGTTTTTAATTTTTATACTGAACATAATCGAATTTTTGATCATTATGCAAACAAGTAAAATATATTGGCGCCCGTTTTTATCAAAAATTTAAAAAATACAGCAATTTTATTCAAAATTTAAGCGCAGTCCAATTTCTTTTTTTTACTTTTAGATCCCAACAATATTTTTGAGACGAGCCTAAAATGATCTCAAATATAAATTAAATATTTAAAATAATCAAATGATCTAGATTAATACACAAATCAAGGTGTAACCAAGGGGGGGATCCCCTCTATTACAAATTTGCTGAGTCGTTAAAAGGTACTTTTTAATTGGATCTAGATACAGATACATCATTTTAAAATGTATATGTAAGCAGGTACAAATTTTACCATATAGGGTGGTTCGCTTTTGTTCTCGAACAAAAACTCTTATTATGATAGAACAAATTAATAATAATAAAAATGTCAATGCCTCTATTTTTATCATTCTATCAAACAAATTCTCCTTTAAGCTAGCATTTATTTTTACAAAAATCCATTAAACTTATAATTTATTCATTAAAAGTCAGGGGAGTATCTATAAAATTATTTTAAAAATTCAAATAAATTTATTTGCTTAAAATAATTTTATGCATTAATGGTATTATTTTTTAATTAATGGACGTCATGACTAAGCAAGGATTTATGTATTTTTTTATAGTAGGAAGAGGAACAAAATGAGTGTTTGCAAAACGTTTTTTAACGTACACGATAAAAATATCCTTCACAATCTTGAACTGATATCTATATATATTTAAATGGGGGAAAATGTAATATATATATATATTTAACTTTATGTAATATTTTATATATAAGTTTTAATATTATATATAATAGTTTTAATATTATTTTATACATTTATTTTTTTTATTATTTTAGTTTTATATTTTTTAATATATATTTATTTAAATTATATGCAGCGGGAGAAGTCGTCGATGTATTGCACTGAAGGCATATAGATGTGTGCTACATACAGGAGACTAGATGGAAAGGAAATGGGACCAGAATGATTGGCTAGACTAGCGAAAAATATAAATTCTTTTGGCAAGGAAGTAATGATGGTAAGGCGTTTCGGAGAAATTGGTAGACAAAGTAGTCGAAGTGAGAAGGCTAGATAACCAGATAATGATTATCAAGATAATTTTTGGTAGAAAGCTATATAATATTATCTCAGCATATGTTCCTCAGGTTGAAAGAAGTGAAGAAGAGAAAGATATATTTTAGGACAGTCTATTGGGGGTGACATCGAGACTGGCAAATGAAAAGGGGATTATCCTGGCTGGTGATCTGAATGAACATGTGGGAGCGAGTAATGAGGGTTATGAAGAAGTACATGGAAGGTTCAGTTATGGCATGAGAAATTTGGTAGGAGCGAGGATTTTAGATTTTAGTGATGCTATGGATATGATTGTCTGTTATACAATGTTTAAGAAAGAATCCGAGAAGATGGTGACTTATAAGTCGGGTAGTACCAAAAGTGCAGTGGATTACTTGTTATTGAGATGTGAGCGATGTAGAGTAAAGATGTGAAAGTGATACCGGGAGAGGAATGTATAAATCAGCATCGACTAGTTGTAGGAGATCTCACTCTTAAAGGTGCCAGGATCACTAAAAGAAAGTTTGTGCCAAGGCTAAAGGTTTGGAAATTGAAGGAGGAGAGTGCTAATTCAATATGACATTGGCGATTAGGGAGGCGGAGGTGGCACAAGCATCTGGGGTAAATGACAAGTGGGAAGCCAAGAAGAAAGCCTGGGTGATGACAACTGAGGATGTATGTGGGACAAAAGGGCCGCCTATACATAAGGAAACTTAGTGGTGGAACCCGGAGGTAGTGAAAGCCGTGGATGAGAAACGGAGGTGTTTCAAAGTATGGTATAATAGCAAAGAAACGATATTTACAAGATGGCTAAAAGAAATTCTAAGTAATTAATATCGAAGGCTCAAGAAGAAAAAAGTTACGAGTTTGCTAAAGAAATGGAATGCGCTGATGGAATTGGAAATATGGTTCGAATGGCAAAGCAGATCTCAAAAAAGAGGCAGGGTGTGATAGGTGTAAAGTGTTTGAAAAATATGGAAGGAAAAATGGTGATTGATAGTAGTGGTATTAAGAACACCTGGAAGATTTACATGAAATGACTTTTGAATGAAGAAAATGAATGGAATAAAAATGTTAGTTGTGCAAAGATAGAAGGTCTAAAATGTAAATTTGGCATGGAGGAGATAAAGAGAGCAGTGAAAAAGATGAAAAAAAGGAAAGGCATCGGGTTTTACGATGGTGGTATCAGAGATGTTTAAAGGTTCAAATGATTTAGGAATTGAATGGTTAATGAATTTAGCCAATAAAATTGTCACAGAAGGAACTATTCCCGAGGACTGGAGAAGAAGTATAATTATCCCAGTATAAAAGGGGAAAGGTGATCCTTTCGATTGCGGGTCTTACAGAGCTATTAAACTCTTGGAACATGCAATGAAAGTATTTGAGAGGTTAGAGAAGCGGATAAGGGAACAAATTTAAATTGATGAAATACAGTTTGGTTTTACATCGGGAAAAGGCACGACAGATGCAATTTTTGTGGTGAGACAAATTCAGGAGAAGTATCTTGCGAAGGAAAAGAAACTCTATTATGCGTTTGTTGATTTGGAGAAAGCATTTGATAGGGTGCCACGTGAGATTACTAGATGGGCCTTGAGAAAATCAGGTGTGGAGGAATGGTTGGTTATCGCAGTGATTGCAATGTATGTTGGAGCACAAACAGCAGTACGGACGGATTATGGTGATAGTGACAGCTTTGAGGTGAAGGTAGAACTTCATCAAGGATCCGTGCTGAGTCCATTATTATTTATCTTAGTAATGGATGTGGTGGCTAAGAAATGCATAAAGGGCTTCCCTGGGAGCTATTATATGCAGATGACCTTGTATTAATGGCAAACAGTGAGGAAGAATTGAGGGATAAAATTAGTAAATGGAAGATGACTATGGAAGCAAAGGGACTGAAAATGAATGCATCAAAGACAAAGGTGATGATTGGTGGGGAAAATATAAAGAAGGAGGAATCCGGTAAGTGGCCTTGTGGTATATGTAGGAAAGGAGTTGCTAGAAATTCTATCCAATGCACCAGATGCCAGAAATGGGTACAGAATAGATGTAGCGGGAAAAAGGAAGTTTGATGTTAGGAAGAATGACCTTTATTTGTAGAACATGCATGAAAGGGATACATAATAATGATAACCTAGAAAATAGTGGTCTGGATATTTGGGTTAACCCTAGAAAAAGTAGATAAGTTTTGTTATTTAGGTGATATGCTAAACGCAGATGGTAGTGTCTGCCGTTGTTGCAAGGATCAGAAAGCCTGGAAGAAGTTCAGAGAGATGTCGTATATTCTTACAAATAGAAAGTCTCTCTGAAGTTAAAGGGGAAAGTTTACTAAGCTGTGTGAGGAGTTGTTTAGTTTATGGCGGCGAAACATGGGCAATGAAAGCGACTCACATAGCCAAATTAGAAAGAACAGAGATGAGGATGATTAGATGGATGTGTGGGGTGGTGTAGAATTGATTGGAATGGTAATGCGACGAAATAGACTAAGATGGTTTGGGCATGTGGAACGTATGACAAAAGATGACTGGGTAAAGAGATGCACAATGGTGGAAGTAGAAGGATCAAGACCTAGAGGAAGACCCAAGATGACGTGGACAAATGTGATAGAGGCGGATATGAGAAGCATGAATCTTACAAATATTGATGCTCAGGGCCGTCAAAAATGGAAAAGAAAAATCAGAGGGAAAACTGGCATACAGGTAAACCTGGAAGCCATAAAACGGAGAAGAAGAAGATACTTAAACAACTCTGCAAATTTGCCAGTTTTCGTAAATATGATTTTAAGCTAATAAAAATAAATGAGAAAATGCTAATAAATTTTTTGAATAAAGACTATATTGCATTTTAGAAAAAAAAGCATTTTTATAAAAAATAAAGTAAAAACCCCCTAATTATTTTTATTAAAATCTAATATAGCCAAAAGTCCTAATTTTTTCTATGATTTCATCAGTATTTGGTGTCAAGTTCTCATATATATATGTGTAGAAGACTACCCCATTCAATTTATTAACTTAAATATCCCTTTCTATATGCATTTTTTATTTTTCTTGTTTGTAAAGTGCTAATTTTAATATATTGAGAAATAACTTTTAAATTTGTTAAGATTTAAAAAATTTCGCCGATTCTAAAAAACCGATAAAATTAATATTGCCAAAACCTACAAGATTTTCCCAAAAGTTGGCGGAAGGTTTGGCCCTCTTTTATCGAAATCTCGCGGCTTTAATTGGCTAAATCGAGATTTTAAACAACACAAAAAAGGAGATAATAAAAAGATTTATTTTATAATCCTCTACCAATCCTACACGTGTCTTTATGCCAGTTGAGATATGTGAATTATTTAGGTCTACATTGAACTGAACAATCACGTAATTAATAAAATTCCTGATCAACATTTGACTTATATCTTTAGGCTCCAAAATACTTTCTTCAAATTTTATGGTATTAGCTAAATCATTATAAGAGATTACATGAAATAGTATTCTCATTATTTTCTATCTTTGCATAATTAAATTATTTGTGATGCATTGAAAAAAATTATTATGTTCAATAGGACGGTTTCTTCTGAAGATAAATTTTTTAGACCATTTTCACATTTCAGTAAAAACATATCTTAATCTCAACCGGCTATTAACGGCGAAGGTTTTAAAAATATTTAAATAATTTACACTTCCCCTCACTTAGAGGGCTACTCGCCTGCTTGCTAGGATCTTGAATAAATTTATTTTTTGAAAGTTTAAAACTAAAACTAATAATATATTTTTTTAATTAATTATATAAATTCCGAATTCTGTAACAAAAAAAATTAATTGAAATATAGCATGGATGAATGATTATTAGATGTAATATATTAATAATATTATTTAATTTATTAATAAAATTTCCACGATTAATTATTCATTGTTTTAAAAGTATTAATATACTCACAAGTCGGCATCACAAAGTTGGGGCTTGGCCATCCTATGACCCTCTAAAACTTTATTTTTAGCCTCCACATTAGACATACCGGGATAGGGGCTATCTCCCAAAGTTACTATTTCGTAAAGAGTAATGCCAAAAGCCCAAACATCCGATTTTTCGGTGTATCTATTGAGGGTTATACATTCTACTGCCAGCCATTTAATGGGGAGATTTTTGATGCCCTGAAATAAAATCGCATTATAACTATCAAATAAATAATAAATTATATAGTACGTATTTTTTCCTAACGTAGAGACCATCTCCACGTGCTAAGCCAAAATCGCAGACTTTTGGGACAAGATTGTCCCCCAATAAGACGTTCCTAGCTGCCAAATCTCTGTGAATAATCTATAGATAAACATATCGATATTTTTAAAAGATATTATAATTCTTTCTTGATCATTCAGTTGCATAATAATATAATTTTAGGTAAAACATATAATTTCAAGATTTATTTCGTTTTTTATGCCCATTAGTGTTAAGTTAACAGTGACAGGGTTGGTTCGCAAAACCCTTGCCTGTTCATTCTTGTATGATTTCTTTAAACGAATTGGATAATTTACTATTCATAATTATATCAAATCGTATAAGAATATATAATTTACTATTTTCATAAAATTTTAAAAATAATAATTAAAATTTTCTGGATTTAATTATAAATCACCAAAATTGTAGTTTATTTCAATTATATTTTTAATATATGAAAAGCTTTAATTTTAATTTTGATTTTTGAAAGATCTAATTTACTTGGGGTTTGTTTAGCTTTATATTTTCCATCTGTACTCATGTAGGGTTATAATATCATTAGCACTTTGATGTATTTTTTACAAAATTTTAAAATATTTGGTTCATAAAAATAAAATTACTATTATGTAATAGTATATTACTTCGTGTTTGGCTAAATGGGCCATGCCATTAGCAATACCCATGGCAAAACCGTACATCTTTAATATTGAGCAGTCGGAGTCGAAGTTCTTAGCTTTAATTAAATAGGACTTTAAATCGCCATTCGTACAAAATTCGATGCAAATGTACAATTGACCTGATAGAATTTCACATTTTTTTAAGGTTATAATTTAGTAAATATCAGTGTTATAATTAAATAATTTAGATGATTGCGAAAATAATCATTTCTGGAAAGTCCTTTTATAACTGTCATACTAAATTAAATTGGGGTAAACCTTCATGGATTGTTGCCCCGACCGTATTAACGATGTTTTCGTGAGTCTCCAGCTTTGACATAATATTAAGTTCCTTCACGCTCTCTATAAAGCCGGATTGTTCGGCTAATGGATCTCCCCCAACTATTATAATGTATAGGAAGTAAGTTATAAAATAGAATGATAAATTTTAAGATAAATAATTATTACCGCCTGCAGCTTTAAGGACTTTAACGGCCAATTCAAAATCGATGTCTCCCCATTTGTAATGACCCTTTTTGACAAGGCCAAAGTGACCTTGTCCTAATATTTTATCCTCTAAGTGTAGTTTGTCCCAATCAAGCTTGAGACTCGGCCATGGGATTTCCCAAGTCTCTGCTTTTAATTGTCCCCTAGATATTATTTTAAAAAAATTTAAGATAAAAAAACAGAATATATGAGTTTCCAGGAAAATGAGAAAATATGGTTAGGCTATGATTGATATATTTTTCGTGGACACGAGATATGCATAGTACCATTGATTAAAGTTAAAAAATTTTCTCAAATATAATCCTTCATCCCCTCTCTTATGGATGGAAAATCTTATGCTTATAATCAGAAAACCGTTTGATATGTATTTCATGGACACGAAACATGCCTAGTTTTATTAATTAAAGATTAAAAAATTTCCATATTACACATGATCGTTCTTATGGATGAAAAATCCTATGTTTAAAATAAAAAAAATTGTTAAAATAAAAAAAAGGGGGAATAATAGCAGGTCAATAGAAGAGGCGTTTGAATCAAAATACCAGGAGTATATATGATGAAAGCTGACCACCATATTAGGTGATGCTAGTGGCCTATACCAGTAAGGACGATGCATTTATATGTATAAAAATAAACCTTTGGGAAGTGCATATAATGCTATCGATAATATATGGCGATTTGCAAAAGGTCTCTGTACCAAAGGAGCCCTCTTCAGTGTCCAGCTGTTCAATCGAATTGATCAATTTATCATTTAGTCCTAGCCCGTTTATCATATAGAGGTATTTCCCTGATTTTTTACAATGGTGTAAATTTGTTCAAATTATTAATATATATTATTTTTAAATTTTACTTTGCGAGTAAGGGTAGATAGGTTCAAAATGGAACTTCTTTATTTAAAAACAGTACAAATGATTAAAGGGCAGTTATTTAGAACTTTTATAAGGTGATGAATATCAACTCATTTCTGACAACAAAGTTTTGACAATCTGAAATGAGATAAACCATAGACATAATTTAGTACATAGACTGGTCATTAAAGCAATATTAAAGAAAAAAGAAAGGTGATTTCATTAGAAGCTGAAGAGAAAAGAAAGGTGATTTCATTAGAAGCCTTTTTAGTTTGCCAATATGCATGTTTTTTGTAATCAAGAAAAGTTATTTATTATGGTATAATAATCATATATAATAGATTATAACTCCATATTATTGCAAACTAAGATGGTTTCAAGTGTGAATTTTTTTTATCTTTAGATCTTGTATCATGGATTTTTTTAAATATTGTAGAATTTTTTTTAATTATTTTATTTATTGTATCTATCAAAACAAATTGATACTCACTATTTAAATAAATATTCATGCATTATTTTTAAAAAACATATAATGTAAAAAAAAGAAAAAAAGCTTACCAATCGCCATAACCCCGAATTTATAACGAGGGATTGTTAATTTATTGCATTTAGCCCAGATATCGTATTCAACGTCGTAGCGATAAATGTCATCAGATGGGATAAAATTCCATGGAGGAATACCAGTAGCTCCGCCAATCAAATACATAAAGCCATTAACTTCTATCAAATTGGCATGACATAATGGTTTCTTTAAGGGCTTAGCCTTTTTCCAACTAAATTTTCCAGAGAAAATTTTTTTTAAAACATGAGATACTAAGCATTTATATATACAGATATTAAAAATCTACAAAGCCCGGTCCACCCATAATCCCGGCTCGCGGGTCGGCCCGAGAAAATTTCTGAAAACGGGCAGGTTCGAAGTTAAACAAATTAATAAATAGTATATTATAAACAAAAAAAAAGGAACAAGTTATTTATAATATGATCCAATAACAAATATACACCATACAGATATCAAAACACAAGATTTATAAAACGGTTGTTACAGAAATAGATAGCAATAGAGGTTTATAAAAACTCAAATGACATTGGGGGGGGGGGGGGGGTTAGATAACATATCATAAATGTGATGGCCAGAAAATTCATACAAAAAAATTGGGCTGTGACGGACTTTTTTAATGAGCCTAGCTGGGCTTATTCTTTAAAAAAATTTTAACGGGTGAGCAACTTCTGCAAAAAATTCTTAACGAACAATATATAAAATAGATGCATAAAAAAATTTTTAAAAATCTTTATCTGTTAGGAAATAGACAAAAGGTAGCATAAGCGAGATTGATTTGAGATAAGTTGATGGAATAAGATTTTAAAGAGTTGGCAAACCAAATAAGACGAGAGAACCGATTCAAGAAAAGAAATGATAGATTTTATAAACAATAATTAATTATACTCACATTTTTACAAAAGGATCAAAAACCTCCACCGAGTTTAAAATTTGTAGCGTGCCTTTGGCGGAATTGATGCCGCCAGCCACATAAATTTGTCTTTGATACTCACCTGCCGCACAGCCGTATTTTTCTTCGTTCAAATTATTTATCGGTCTCCAACTATCTGTCACAATAGTGTAAGCCCATACCTCATCAGTAATTCTAAAAAAAATAATAATATATATACCATTTGTCCAATATTATTTCAAAAAAAAAATTATTTAAATTGTTTTTTAAAAAAAATTATTTAAATTGTTTTTTAAAAAAAATCATTTAAATTGTTTTTTAAAAAAAATCACTTATGATCTAATTTTTTTCCTCCTATAACATAAACTTCACCATACATAGAACACACTGTGTGATCATATTTTGCTTCTGGCATAGGTCTAATCAGAGACCATCCACTGGTGTAAAACATTTTCCAACAAATATTAGTTGGTATTGAATCCTTCTCTTCTATCGAACTGATTCTGTTGGATCCTAATAACGTAGGTATTGTTATTAATTTAAATTTTTCCTTCAATTAGTGTTCTAGCGTAATAAATTCTAATCAATTTCTTCTTACTCAAAAATAATAGTATTTATTGCAATCACATTACCATATTTTTTTAGACTTTTATTTAAGAGTCAATATTTCTTTTCTATAAATGATTTTATGCCTTAATAAATGTTTATGAAAAAACGCTTAAGTTTTAGTTACCCATTAGGTATAATGTGGATAATTGGGTTTCTCTTATGAGTCCCTTGGGCAAAATGTCAATTAACGGTGCATCAAAGTGCATTTCCGCTCTAGGAGGGAAATCGGCCAATGTTTGATCAGGATCTTGTTCAATCCTAAAATATTTTATTTATAAAAAAAAATTTTTTTAAATATACTTGACAGTCGATTTTCTTCTGGAAGTAGGCGATTCCGATTTTTTGATATCTGCTACAAATATTTTTAAAAATTTAAAATTAATAATGAATTTAACCGATTTTTAAATTAAAATTATGACCAATAATAATATTACGTCCAAACTTTTCTGCCAATCAATTATCAAAAATCCCAAGGCTTGCTTAATATTTTTGGCTAAAATATTGGGCAACGAGATTTTGGTATCCGTGACTGTATTTCACACAATTTTTATGTTAATTTTTAAATTACTCTTAATTTATATTAATTATGATAAGTTGTTTTTATTTAAATATAAATTTTTTAAAAAAATACACAAACGTTCTTGGCAAAATTGTCTAAAATTTACAGTATTATGAGTATGAGTATAGTTGGGTATTGGCTAAATATCGGCAAATTCGGCTTAATCTATAGACGCTCGTAGAAAATCCAATTTATAATAGTTTCTTTTAAATTTAAGCTATTATATTTTTAAGAAAAACCCCAAAGCCAAAGTAATAATTATCGGCTAAAAAGTGGGCTTAAAAATTGGCTTAATCAGTTAAAGAATAATATTAATTTCCCAACTATAGTAATAAGTTCTCTATGCATTCCTCGGTAAATTATTTAATATTGAGAGAGACCGAATTAATTTTCGTTGATTTCCCCATATCCCGTTACGTCATATCGTAGGCCGAGAATTATAGTGTTCTATATCCACATTTTTGCAAAGTATTTCCGATCTTCAGTACTCTAAGTGTTGTTAAATGACCCGATTCAAGTCTTTTTAAAAAGGGTCGGATTAAGATTTTAGCCAAAATTAAGTTCAGAGATTTTGCTTATAGATGACTGAAATGTTTTGACCTCTATTTGCCCAAATCTCGATGCTTACATAGTATTATTTTGGCTTAAATCTTAGTCGGATCGATTTAAATCGTTTAATGATCTCTTATTTAAAATGCAAGAATGATCTCTTGATATTTATTTTCTGCATACTACAATGATTTTTTTTGTATTATTATTATCAAATCACTAAAAAGGTTAAAATTTATATTAAAATGGCTAAAAAGGCTTTGATTTATATAATTTTTTTGTTAAGTAGTTTATGGTATTCTATCTTTTATTAATTTTGCTTGTTTGTTACCTTTGGAATGAGGCCTTCTTTGGATTTCGTTTTCGGGTGTTGAAACATAGCTGAGCCTAAAACGTAAACAATTTTGTAATACTTATAAATAAATTTTTTTTTTATAGAGTTGCATGCTGAACAGAGTGAAGGATTTTAAAATTAGTTACTTATATATCCTTGTCTATGACTATATTAGTTACGAATTTAATGAACTAATTAATTCGGTTGTCCTCGCTTTTTAACGAAAAATTATCTGAACAAATTGTTTTATCGGATGAAATTTTATAAAATTACAAAATATTTTACAGTATATAATAAATATACACGATTATGCATAAAATTATTACGACTTATATATTTGAATATGTATTATTAATAATTATACAATGTAAACATTATTTTTAGGTGAGAACCATGTTACTAATCTAATTTATCAAAAATAAATTTGCTGTAGTGGATTATAATGTTTTGCAATTTAGTCATGTGATTTTACTTCTTCCCATATCTATAAGGTTTAATTTTCTTTTTGATATCCTTGTTTGTGGTTCATTAAAATTGGCTTGACAATGTTGAGGTATCATTCCCAATCAATACTTAGATAGTATCATTAAAAATATTGATAGGACTTAGGCCTCATTTGTAGTAAACGCATTATGTTTAAACCCTGCATTTAACACAATCGAAATCGGAGCTGATTCTTTATATAAACTTTCCATATCCCTATTTATAAGCTTGATTTTGTAAATAACGCTGCATTAAATAACGGACCGCAATTATTTTTCTAGTTCCAGTCAAAGATTGTATTTATATATGGGGTAAAAATAATGATGTCATTGGATAGGATATCATACTTTTGCACTAACATGGGGGTAAAATGGAAAACCATATGAGGTAAAAATGGCAAATATACAAACACTATAACACAAACGATTTATTTTAGGGGTAAAAATCTTTATAAATGTAAACATTAAGCAAAAAAAAAGGTTCATGCAATAAGGATATATATATTAAAAATTCAGTAATTGAGTCGGTTATTTGAAAATACAATTCGTCTATTTAAATTATTTTTAATTTATAATTAATTATATTACATACCATTAACAATACTTTATTCAATAATATTAAACTTGCTAAACAACAAAATTGATTAATTTAAAAAATTTATATTTTAAACAAAAATTAAATTTAATAATTTGTCATTTTTTTCCTCCTGACATTATAACCCATGGTCACAAGGCTTACAGAATGACCCTAGCAAAGACATTGGGCCACCCATGGCGATAATAAATTCAGTTGCTTTAAGATAGGAAATCCAAATGAGGGCCCTAAAATCCGCTCCCACATTTGGACAGGCTTGGTTGAGCTAAAAGCTCTGGTGGCACATTTATTCTATAGATACTTACTGTTCAATAGTCACTAGTTCAATGCAAAGTTGCTCAATAAAAAATGAATGAATGGTAATATGTATACCAATATTCATCCTTAAACTAAATCTGAGATATTTAACTATAGCAGGTTAAGATTATAGAAATTTGTTCCCCCCCCAATGAATAGTGACAGATTTTATATCGCTCAAATATCTCATTAACCTATATATAATGGTAATAGGTTTAATAGGTAAGGAGACCAGTGCTAGTCGTTGCAAGAGACCTAGCGGATTTTTATTTTTTAAACCAGTATAATGTTTAGAAGTTTAGATTTAATTATGTAATAGTATTTTATAATATGTATATTTGGCGAATTATTTTATATCCGTCAAGCCATTTAAATTTTTTATGCTATAAAAAAATGTTTCTATGGCTTATAATAAATTGACCACCCTCTTTTAGTATTTAGGTAAATTCATAATCAGTTTAAATTGATTTTTTTAAACGTTTGTGATAATAATGCCATAGGAACTATTAAAATAATGGATACATAGATTACAGGGATTAAAATACACATTTGTCAAATTTTAAGATTCATGGTTCTCAGGGGCAAAAGGTTATAGACGTTTCTCCTTCTCACGCCGCTTATCACCATTTTCCCTATATATATCTAGGATTAAATATTTATTATTTCATTTTTATTATTATTTTTTTTTTAAATGGCAACACTATACCACTTCATCAATCCATTCGAAGATAAAAATTACAAAATTTGCTTTTTTTATCTATTAAATACAAAAGAAAAGTAACTAATACCTATCCGTTTCCGTTGTTTCGCTCTCCTTCTTAGATTTAAATGAAGTTAATGCGTTGTAAACGGTGGAGATTCCGCTAGAACGTCTTCTGACCTTTATTTCGCCTGGGGTCTTTATCGTTGTTAAAGATTTCTTCTGAAAAGATTTAAAAAATATATATCTGTGAAATAAATAACACTATAGAAAAATTATAATTGTGTATCATATGATAATATTATATTCATAAGAATGAAGATGAAGATGAAGATGAAGATGAAGATGAAGATGAAGATGAAGATGAAGATGAAGATGAAGATGAAGATGAAGATGAAGATGAAGATGAAGATGAAGATGAAGATGAAGATGAAGATGAAGATGAAGATGAAGATGAAGATGAAGATGAAGATGAAGATGAAGATGAAGATGAAGATGAAGATGAAGATGAAGATGAAGATGAAGATGAAGATGAAGATGAAGATGAAGATGAAGATGAAGATGAAGATGAAGATGTAGATGAAGATGAAGATGAAGGTAGCCTTCAGCTGATGAGCATTCTCATGATACAACTTATTTTTTATATTAATTTAAACATATTTTGAACTGAACACCACATTTTGGTTTGTTTAAATTGATGGCATATATGTTTAGTATTTTTTCTCTTTTTTTGTTTTTTTTGTTTTTTTTGTTTTTTCCGTTTTTTCGTTTATTTTTCTCTTACTTTAGCCAGGACATACCTTTATGCCTTAAGCTAGGAAACCAGAAAAATAATTAAAATAAATCTAAAGAAAGATTTCAATTCTAATAATTTTAGTTCACATAAAATTTAAAAAAAATTAAAGACGAACACAAAAATTATTTTTGATTAATGCAAAAATAAAAAAAGTTACAATCAAAAACAATAAATAATATCAAAATTTATAATTTATAATTTTCCTAGCCATAAATAATCATGCTCTACGCTTGTAAAGGATACTAATTCGAATCCCATTAAGGTATCGTAATTATGATTCTTGTAAATTTTTCAGTGATAAGGGGAGATCAATAAGTGATTTTTTATATTTCGTTTAATTTACAAAAATGCTTTTCCGACCCTGTAACCCTGAGGCCTTAAAAAATGATCTAGTAGAAGAGGGAGGGGGATTTTAAAAGATGAATTTACTGAGCCTAAGATCCTATTTTGAAATTCATATACACTCAAATTAAAGATAAATTCAAATTATATTCTTAACTTGTAACAAAACATTTTTTTATTATTGGAACGTATATATTGTGGGCATTGGCATTGGTAATCTTTATGATTCCGAATTCCTAGATTTTCAAAAAAAATATATATTTAATTTAGCATTATGGATTACATCTTTACGCCGCGTTTAAAACGCTAAACAATTCTTTACCTTCATCATTTACAACAGCTGTTTTCTATTTCAATAGTCTGGTATTATAGATTTATCTCATCGCCGGGTAATTAACAAGACCAAATATAAATACGGTTTTTATTTTCTTAAATTTAAACGCGATGTTTATAGAGCTACTTCAATTGTACCTTAAAAAGAGGATCGAGGATGAACTCTTAAACGTTCCAAAAAAAATTAACGTCTCAGGCAGCTAGCATGACACTAGTGAAACATTATCATTTTAAATTATGTTTGTTGTTTTTTTTTTCTAAAACAAATATTTACGTGATGGAGATGCTTAAGGCGAGACGCGATTTTGTCGTCGGGCTTTTCCGCTTTCGTCTCTTTGGGAAATTTGACTGTTGAATGCCGTTTCTTAGATACATCCTTGCAACTACATCTCTTCTTATTTACCTTGCAATCTGGACAAATATCCCTCTTCTCGAACACGTTCTTTTTGATATTACTAACTCTCCTACCAATCAACGATAATCGTTCCTTTAATACATTTTCAATATTTAATAAATAACCATTTTTTTTAAAAAAAATTATGCATAACATATAATATTATATAACATAATATAATATTATATAACATAATATAATACTATATATTATGTAACTTATGAAATGAAATGAAACCAAATCATTTCCTTAAATTAGACAAGTTGTCTCACCCAACAAATTATTTGGGATCAAAAATTAATATGTTAAAATAATAAATGAAAGGGTTATATAATTATAATGCAAGCCAGACCATTTGCTAAACAACAACTAAATTTTATATTTATTTTTTAATAAGATTCACATGCTCGAGTGCGATTTACTATATATCATCCCCGAGAACCACCAATCTACATATAAAATAAAAGGCCTTTACTGGATTAAGAACCCGCGTCTATCAGATTCGTGATCAACGCCCTAACCGATTAGGCCCCAGACGATATATTAAAACGTCAGTTTTTTTATTATTTATATAAAAATAAATATGATGTCATGAGAAACAGTGCACGCTTGGCTTGCATTCATAAACCTTGTATAATACTTATTATATAGACTGACGATTCATTCATTCATTAAAATGAATTATTTTAGGCTTGAATACAAATCGCTGGTGACACGCCATTTTGGTTTTCTATAAAAAAAATTATTATATAATTAAAACTGATATCTTTTTTATAAAGTTTAAAAAAATTGTAAACGTAAAATTATTTTCGCGGGAAAATGAAATGGCATATCATCAGCTGATTCGTATTGATACTCATTGTGAACCTCTTGAAATAGTATATGTATAATAAATATGTTGATTTTTTTTTATTTTCAAAACTTTGAATCCAGGGACTTTCCTAACAATGCATCTTTCGCAATGACCCCTTAGTAATTCACCAGAGCATGTCGGACATTTATCTAAAATAATATGAATGAATGAATTACATTTATTTCCACTAATTTTATTTTTTAAAAAAAATATTTAACTTGACAAATTTTCGTAGCTGAATTTTAGTAATCGTGACCTATTAAATTTTTTTTTTTGAATAAAGGGTGAACATATTATTTTTATAGAAAGAAAAGTAACCTATTCGGAAGGGTTTGAAGGGAAGATAAATGTCGATCCAGAACCTCCAGTTTCTTATGCAAGCGATTTAATGTCTATCATATATATATATAAATTATATTATAGGTTTCTTAAAATGAATTATTTGGTATTCTGTTCGATCCTATATTTAAATAATACGAAATACAATTATTCAATTCAAAAAATCAAAACGAATAATGAATAATGAATAATGCAAAAAAAAAGGTTAATCTTCGAATAATAGCCTTCTCATTCTTCTTTTCTTACTTTCTTTCCCTTTTTTTTGGATTCGTATTTTATAGGCTCATATATATATAGTAATAGTGTCTTCTTTCATACTAATTAATATTATTTTATTTTAACAAAGATATTATGTTGAAAGAATAACATTAAAATATCAGGAGAGGGTATATTTAGATAGTTCTGATAATAATCTATTTAATTTAAAAAGATAGATTTAAAGAATCCATTAATATTTACTTCTAAACTAGGATTAGGATTATAACTTCTTTGCGTTGGCACGTTATATTGAGTTAAAGCTTGAGAGTAACCCTTTTCATACATCATTCGGTACCTTGAAATTATTTTTTAAGATAAATTCAACCTTTAAATATTTATTTTATATAAATTGTGCGATTTACCATAACCAAAATTCGATAGTTAGTTTTGAACTCGGTTTAATTAACGCGCTAAATTGTCCGTACAAGCATCTTTGGATAATGTTGGAAGGCAGGTATACCCATCTAACTAAATATTTGCATAAATTGATTATATAGCTGACTGTTTATAATAAATATATATACCTGTTGACATAATTTCATCTCCCAATTGCAAAGACGATGCATGTGGGTTAACGTGACACCAGCACACTGCACCGTAAAAAATATCCAACTCAGAATCTACCATTAAACCGTCATAACTTAGAAATTTGAGGATGGCTCTAGGAAGGGCGCTAAGGAAAGCGACACTATCGCGTATTGAATAATAGTCTTGAAAGAATAATTTATAATCATATAAATCTCAATAATTTACTTAATGATATGTGCCTCAATACCAAGTCAGTTAAATTGACCATCTCCAAATTTTCAGCCGCCAGCAGAATGTCAAAACAATTTTCTTTTTGGTAGACATAAATTCCTATTTTTTTCCAAAACGTTGCGTTTATGCAATAAGTAATCTTATAAGAAAAATAATTACCTGTCCTCAGATATTCTTCGATATGCTCGAACACGTGACTTGAACAAATGTCTGCGCTAACCACTAGAGGCCTCTCATATCGCCACAGTCTTAAAGCCCTGGCAAAATAATTACTGTTATCGAATAGAGAATTATATGGAACCCAAAACTTTCTATTTGATATGATAATCGGAACACTGCTCTCATCCGAAGGAATGGAGATATCGCTTGAAGATGACTCATCCCACATACTGAGGGCTATTTAATTAACAAGTTTTATTTTCATTTAGACCCAGATGATTTCATTCAAATATTTTTTAACAAGAATTAGAAAAAATTGACAAATTAAATAAAATACAATTTAAATTTGACTTTTTTACCAAAATGACACGTGCTATACTTGATTGCTTATACGTAGTAAAGCGAAATCATTACCATTAACTAATTATATGCGCATTAAAACTGAGTTTTCATTCGAGAATCCTGAAAGGCAGAACAATTTGAAGATGTGTGCCCGGAAAGCTTTGCAAAACACATGATTAAATGCTTTAACAAGTAGGATATAAGAAAAAGTTAATAACCAAATTTGTTAGGATAATACATTTTAATAAATGGTTTTATTATAATATCGACAAAAAATTTTTAAAATGCAATTGTATTTTTCTCAGCAAGCGAAAAATTAATTGGAGGAACGTTTCCATCAGTTAAAGTATTTCTAAGAAAAGAAAGTAATTTTGAAAATAATTTTAAAAATTTTTTTGAACCCCCTGAGATTGTAAAGGCTAGTGACGCCCCTGCTTATAAATAATGGCTGTTTAAGGTGAAGAGGCTTTTATAAGACTATTATATAAGATCTGAATTTTTTTTGACTCTGGATAGGGGTGGGTTGATTTATCCTATTATACTCTCAGCTGGATACGCGCCTATCTTGATTAAACATAAACATGATTATTGATTTAACTGGTATATTATCTTGGTGAACTGAGGAATTGTAAAAAAAATATAACTTTTAATGTGATAGAATCTGATGGAACCTATATGATTCGTATTTATTTAATTACTTAATTTTTAAAACGATTAAAACGAATTAAATTATAAGGAAAACGAAATAAATTATAAGGAAAACGAAATAAATTAAAAGGAAAACGAAATAAATTATAAGGAAAACGAAATAAATTATAAGGAAAACGAAATAAATTAATGTATAGGAGTTATGAATATCGTAAAATTGCGATGGTGGATCGGGGAGAGATTTTTCCTTTCCTCCCACTTAGTTAAGCGCCTGTCCCGTGTAGTAAATATTATAGGGGTACCGAAGTCAAAATTTAAACCCTATTAAAGATTATTTTTGAGTTTCCAAGCTCAGCCCCCGACCAGATATTTTTAATTTTAAAGACGAACTATGATTTTTTAGCTTGTCATTTTATGACCTAATCCGAAATTTCTAAAATTTTATTATTTGAATAGTTTTGGCTCTATTTTTGCAAATAGTATAGTAAATGAATGTTAAATGATCGATCTAAAAATTTTCGAACCGATTAAATAATAAACCCGGATTTTTTTAATTTTAACTATTTTACGGACCAATCCGCCGGACCGGATTTTAGAACCGTGCTTGGTTCCTGAGCAAAGCTACATATCTCTGATAAATAAAAAAATATTAATATTAAAAAATTAAATAATAATTTTCAATTTATTAGTTAAACTTAAAATACAGTAAAAAAAAATTCTTTTTAATATTTTTATTATCATTATTTATTAACCTGGCATCAATAATATTTATACTTTTGATGACCTATAAATATTACAATATATATATAAAAAGATCTCTTTAGATAACTCACCTATTTATTATTTTAACTTATTATTTTATTGTTAATATTATTATTTGTATGAGAATGCATAGATGTAACGTTGGTAATTAATATAATTTTTGATTTTGATTTTAAAAAAATTTAATTAAATTTTTAAAAAAAATGATAATAAAGGATGATTTATATCGATTCTTTTGAATTCCGGAAGGAGAATTTTCTTTTTCAAAAATCCTGATAATTGATGGAATCATGCTTTCCAATATCCATTTTCCAAGTAAGAATTCACGTGATCCCCTAATGTCCTTTTAAAGGAATCAGTTTATTCTATTCTAATATATACTTCTTCTGAATTACAATATTATGTAGTAGACATTGACGTAATGACTTCCACCCCCCCCCCCTTCCTTCTAAACTTTTCTTTATTTTTTTTAAAAAAAGTGCGGTTATCAGTCACTATTAGATTTTGAGTCCATGAAAATTTTCAGGCAAGGAGTGAAACTCCAGTTACTCTAGCTGTTTACGCCAATGTCTGGTTTAAGTGGATGACTTTTAATATTTTATTGCATCTTTATCTTTAATTTTATTGGTTTCCTTTAAAATATTATTTATATATTTAATAAAATACCTCCGCAACTATTGTAGACATTTTTTTTAATCAATAATTTATCCGTATTCTTTTATTAATTAATATTTTCTTAATGGCTCCTCTTTAAGAATCCAAATTTCATTTCATTCCAATAAAAAAAAATCACAAAATAGAAAATAATTGCAAAAAAGATATTAATTATTTATCATAAATGTCAGGTTTATTTATTTTTTAAAATTATAGCCAAATACGCTCATATGACTTTAAAACCTTGATGTATTTTGATTTTTTGTCAAACACGTTTAATGATTTATTGTATTTTTTTTTTTATAAAATTTAGAAGAATAAAAAATTGATAGTTAAAATTTTCTAATCTGATATACCATTTCTATGTAAATACATTTTATAAATGTCGTAGGGCTTTAAATGAAACAATAAAAAATTTGATTCATTTTTTCTTGATATCTATATTTTTTATTATTTTTTTTTATAAATAAACACTTTTTTTATGCACAAGGAAAATTATGCAACAAGCAGCTAATATATTCCTTTTTCACTATTTCGGCCTTCGTTATTGTGTTCGCCGCGTTTTTCTCGACAGCCCCTCTAGGACACAAAATCATGGCCAGTTTTGGTTCCAACAAGGGCATCGTTTCGAATATCAAGGAACTAAATCTTAATTATCACAAGTACACCATGGTTTTGTACGATAAAAAAGGTTCGACCGGAAAAACGGAAAAACCCCATAATCCAAACGAGATCCAAAATCAGGGAGAGAGCGGACGTGTTCTACCGGAATCTAAATGGAGATGGGGAGAAAAGAAGGAATATCGAAAGGAAACTGAGATGAAAGCCAAAGGTACTCTGAAGATCAAATTTTATATTCGGAATTTCATAGGGGGTTAGCCACGGTTATCCAAAGGAAACTGAAACTTGTAAAACAAGAGATGAGTTGCACCTCGCACCTTGACTATTCATATTGATAAAGTGGGTAGGAAAATGACAGGCTTGGCATCTAAATATACCATCATAATCCGCCATTTTGATAAGGAAAATAATGATAGTCATGTGCCTTTATTCATTTTTTTTAACCTCACTAGTCTTTTCAACAAAAAAAATAATTTTATTTTAAACTGCAATAAATATATTTTTATTTATTATAAACTGATAATTTAAAACTATCAAAAAAATATTATTCGACAATTAAGTTGCATATTATTTTTTACAATTTTTATATTATAAAAAATTACCTTGAAGATTTTGTCGATTTGTTAAAAAAATGATAGAGATAGGATAGGACTAATTTTTGTTTTTAAAGAAGTGACTAAAAAAAAGAATTTGACAGTTGGGATATTTAAAAATATATGTAAGAAATCAGGAAATTAAGAACTCTAGATTTTAGAAGAAAACGAACGGGCAGAAAATATAAAGTGTTTCAAGTATTTGACTAAAGCAATCCTGAGAATCCAAATTAGGTTTCATGCTTTATTATTTATTTATTTAACAATTCTATTTAAATATAATTTACAATTATACTTTATATTAATTAGCATATATTCAATACTATTTTAAATTATATTCAATCTAGAATTTAATCGTCAAAACGAAGTATTTATGGATACGTTGAGCCATCGTAAAGATAATGAAAGTTTAAAAAAAAATTCAATTATATTTTGTATTTAAATAAGTGTATAATGTTAGCATCAATCATTATTAAAGATTCATTTATTAAAAGTGAACATACATAGGAGTCGGCTGTAGAGTCATTTTGGTATTTGCAAATCGACTAACTGTCTTATTCATTATATTAAGGCACGTTATTGTCATTAAATCCATGTGAAAACCATCCTATACTTATAAATACACGTTTGAGAATGCCTCGTCAATCTAGTAGTATATACCCCATAGGCGTCAATATGTTTTGTCAACATGTTAAATTTTTAACTTTGAATTCTTCTTTTAGCTAAACTTAAAAATTAGAATTACCCAGTCCAACATATTTAGCTAAACTTTGATTTTTAGAAATATTTTCCACAAACTTTCTAACTCTATTATTTATATTAGTTTGTCCATAAATTTGTTTTGTATAAATTGTAAATGATTCAAAGTTTTACGGCAAGATTGATAATTTATAGGATAGGTATTCCAAGCATGTGGGAAACAGTTTGGGCATAATCAGATTTTTAAGTTTTTAAAAAACGCGTTTAAATAAATTATTTAAAGTTTTAAAAAAATAACATATTTATGCTAACATAAATTATATTATAGCAAAATTAGTTGTGAAATCTATGTTCAATTATTAAATTTATGATTGTTCCCAGAAAAGTGGAGAGAGAGAAGACCCACAACCAGTTCTTCTACAACAAGCGAAATAACCGATATTGACAAAGAACTTCGCATTTTATATGAAATCAAGACAACTCAAAGGACATCAACAATCACCTTAAACAACAGAGATAATAGAGACGCCAGTACCACTGATAAAATGTTGGATATTATTGATAATAATGATGAAAATGAAGAATTAACTGACCAAAATAATGTGGAAGAGGAAGATGAAGAGGATGAATACGATATGGAAGAGGAAGATGTCAATCAGGATGAATGTAAGGGTTATCATATAGATCTTCCCCGAGATCACGATAAATCTATAGAAGAATTTATAGAGAGAAACCTTCAAAACAAAACTAGTAATCATACCGGATACATACAGTTAGTGGATAAATATTTAAATCATCGCAAGATCATCGATCAGATACCCTTTTACGAGTCCGTCATGTCCCCGAAACTCAATGGTAGATCCTTGTCGCACAGAGTCAGAAGGAGGTTCGAAATTAAAATTCGCTTGGTTATGCTTCTAAAAAAAGGCAATAAACGAGATAATATGGCGGTGAAGACAAATGCCATAAATTTTGATATTCCATTTTTGGAAGATGGTATTTTTGAGGATAAAAAATACGATCGCATGTTACTACAAATGAAAAACAAAATTTTCGCGGTTAACGATCAGCAATTAACAACTACTCCCTTGATTAGTCGTCAGATGAATAGTAGGATCAATCCTTGGCGCTTAGCCCACAGATGGATTATAAGATCAATATTCTCCGAAAAACTTTACGAAATGAATAAAGAAACGGAGCCATTTTTTGGATACATTCACAGGAGTGTGGCCCATTATCCCTTGATAGAGATAGACATCCCAAACAAAAGAGTCCCGAAACCTAGGACTAGAAAGGCTAAACAAATCACGGTAAATAAAATGCGGGGCAGCACGATGAAAATGATATTGGAACTGGAAGGAAATCAAAAAGTTTTGTTCAAGCCCAAACGTCTCCTGATGACCGATTTTGTTAAGGACAGATTTTGGCCAGCGTTTCATGGTAGGGAGCGTTTTCAGTGTGAAATAATGTCCTATCATCTTAGCAGGTGAGTATACTCGCAATTGTATAAATTATTCTTCATTGATTTTTTATGCCATTAAAAGGTGAAGTTGTCCAAGAATATTCCCGACTAAATCCCTTTCGAAACCGGTCCTATTTTTTTTGGTCCAGATTGCTTGTTTTATAATTTATAAGAATCCAATACCTTGATATAAATTTTATACACTTTTTTTATAGAGTTTTAGATTTCCGTAAAACGCCTATAACCGTTGGTAGAAGATTCAATTTATTTGATGATTTTCTAAAGAACGATCGATATAAAATTATAAAAGACGTCACCCAAAATGGTTAAATATTTTTTTAATATTATTGTATTGAAGCTATGCCCAAAATCTTTTTCTTAAAGTATCAAAAAGTTTCACTTTCGCAAATTTTAATAAAATCATATATTAAATTTTAAAATTTATAAAATAAATTAGAATTATATTTAAGTCATGTTTTTATTTTTAAAATGGCTTACTCATTTATTTTCATTTAAAGTTTCGAAAGTTTGGGAATTTAATTTTTTTTTACATTTTGAACATAGCCTAACAAATAATTTTGTAATTTGATAGAAAAATTGGAAGATAGTTATTGTTTCCGATTATTCAAGGGTAAAAAAAAGAATAAACGATTAGAGTCAAAAAAAATTTGCACGGAGTCGGGTGGCATGATCGAAGGAGCTATGATAATGTGGTTACCACTTCCATTAGGAATAATCAAAAACCCATGGCACCCAAAATCTTGGCGGAAGGCCAATAAAAACTGTGATGGATATCAAATGTACAATTCAATTTTTTTTTTAAACTTATATTTTGAGATTTAAAAAAACAAATTAGAAAGTAACTAATTCATCGTTTCTTTCAAACCAATCGAGTATTTTATTCGTAATTTTGCCACTGAAATACAGAATTCTTTCGATTAGTATTCATTTTTGAATAGATCACCGTCGAAGATATCATTATCAAATTTGGGTGTCCGGGTCAATAAAATTTTAAGTTTCATTCTAATTTTTAAAAAAAAATGATTATAGGTACGATATATCTAACGAATATTGTTTGAAAAACGTGGATATGATCATCAAACAAAATGATGAGGGGTTGTACAAGAGAAGTCAGCTGACCATTTTGATGGATATTATTGATATGGCCATATACGACTTTTTATTGGATAATATCGACCGTAGTAGTTTCGAATATTTAAAGCATGAAGATAAGAAAAAAAATGGATTCATGCCTAGGACACATGATGCGATCCCAATTTCGTTAATCATGATAGATTCCGGAAATTGGTAAAAAAAAATGATTATCGGAATTTTAGAACATGGACTAAAAATAGAGATTCTATTTTCGTTCTTGAACTATTTTTATAAAAGCCGTTTTGAATATTCTGATTACTAGTTCTGCCAAACTCAGAATATTTTATATTTTGATTTAATCTTTCTTTTAGTTTTCCAGATCCAAATGTAGACACGTTTACAACATTGGCCCCGTTATACCAATGCTGCAAGTAAATATGTGGATAATTACATAAATAATGTTTATTTTAAAATTTAATATTATAAAAAAACCTATTCTCGTCAGACTTCGCCGATCAACATACGAAAGATTAAAACTATTGAAAAATGGCCGTTTTATAAAATCGTTTAACCTATCCTTAAGTGAAGACATGTTGCATCCATTCCTAACAGCACCTTATTGGATCGCCTTAGAAAGGAGGTACAATGCCGTGATGTCAGTCATTCAGGATTGGTGCTTCACTAAATTCGAAGAAAGTAACGTATTACTTTAATAAAAAAGGGTATTGCGCGTAGTCAATGAATATGATTATAAGTTTTAATAAACCTGGACCGAGATGGAAGCATAAAATAAATGTTATTTGAATGTTTGAAAATTTTAATATTACATATAAAAACATATAGTATGTAATTATTAAATATAAATAGACAATCACATGATCGTTTTTATTTTATTAACTATATATCAGAAGTGTTTCGATATTTAATTTATTTTACCAATATCTCATTCCAATATTATTTTTAGTTCCCTTATGAGAATAGCATGTTTATCGAATCAAATAAATTTATAACTTCATTATATAATAAAAAATTACGAATGAATTTCAGGCTGGGATAACCTTGGGCCAGCTGCTTAAATTACTCGAAAATTTTATAAAAACCCTAAATTTAAAAAATTAAGTATTTGTATCGGATCGATAGCTGGCATCTGTATTGGCTAAAAAATGGTATCTGTAAACCTATTCTACATATTATGCCTTTGGACAAAACCTGATTCTTAATTGGTAATAGCAATACTATTAGGCAAGTTAATTAATTTATATAAGAAATAAGCAGTTGATGTAATAGATCCAGGTGACAGTGATGGTCAATGATATGATGTCATTTGATAATTATAGGGTTCTAATACCACTTTAGATTGAATTTATGTTCGAATCTTATCCTTAGGGTCTCCTTCATCAATAAAGATAGTTCTTAAAATTTAAACCAAATGGCAGAGCGTTTTAAAAATCGTTTTGTAAAAATAGGGAGAGGAAACGAATGAATTGAAATTTCAGAGTAACCACATTTTCAACAGCATAGTCCCCTATCATTTTTATATTTTAGTCCATAGATAGGTGGGGGAGGGGGGGGGTCTCAACATTGTTGATTTAAGGTCAAGAGGACTCTTGGAAAAATGGGTATTTCAATAGCATAATGTAGATCAATATAATATGATAATAGTGTAAGTTTAGCATTAATTTAAAACAGTATAATTATAAATTCATTTTTATATATTTATATTATATAGTCTCGAGCATTAACGAATTTAATAAAACTCTTTTACAAAAAAAATATACCCTAAAATCTATATATACATTCATAATGCTATATGTCCAAATATAATTAAAATGAGTTGATATTTTTTTATTAAAGTGCTCTAATTTGATTGACCAATTTTTGTTTTTCTTTATTCTTTTTTCTAACAATGTCCAAGTTTCTTTCCCTCCAACAACTTTTACGTAATTTCACGGGTCTTCCACCGACGTATTTTCCTATAAAAAAAATTTAATGAAATTAAAATTTGGTTTTGTTAACATTATTATTTATTTTTTCTCTTCTTTAAAAAAAGGAAGAAATATATTAGTTTAGAGGCACCCCTTAAAAACTGTTTTATATTTCCCTCTTTTCCAGAGAACAGAATGCAGAGTTCTTAAAAAATACTTCCAAAAATATATCTAGATAAATAAACTTTTTATAAAAATGTATCTCTAGATACAAATAATACATTTTTGTATCTTGATCCTTGATAAAATATCCATAAAATACAATATTTTAAGGTTATTTTAATACTTAAATTTACGTGGCCCACAAGGGTACATAGAATATGACAGATTACGTTGTAAGATTAATGATTTTTACTAAAACAAAAAAAAAGCAATTTTTTCTTAATTTTTTAATAAAAATTTATGTATCTATATTATATTAATTTACTAATCTAAAATGCAACTAAATTTCACTCTTTTAGGCTATAATATTTTTTCGAATAAAATAAAGTGTTCTATAACGTACCCCGTTTGAACCCGATCTTAATTTGCTTTCCTACTTCTCTTACGCTTTAAAAAAAATAATATTCTACATTTATCGCGTGCCGCCATCCCTAATAATCGTCTAGCCAATTAAAACCAAAAAAAACAACTAACCGTTCATTTCCTTCATAGCTTTGGCGTAATCTAAGGCGTCTTTAAAACTGACAAAACCGAAACCCTTAGTTTTATTGTTCCTCTTATCGCGAATAACTTTGGACCTTTGAAAAGAAGGGTACTTGTTAAACGCTCTGGCTAACACTTCGTCCGTCACTTCATTCCCCAAATCTCCACAAAATATCCGATAATCATCTGTAAATAATTATCAAGATTATGGTTGAAAATATTTTATTTTGTAAAAAAATTTTTATAACAATAAATATAAGAGGATTTGGGAAGAAATTTTTTCTTGGAAAGACTATTTTTTTTCTTCATATAATTTTATAAATTTTGAAAAAAAACCAGCCTGATAAAAATTTCTATAAACAGAACGTAGATTAGAATTCTTTAAATTGTGGATAGTATAAAACCATGTATTAAAACTAAGAAGATCATATGTTTTGTAAATATTTACATTTGCAATATAAATCAAATGGTTATATTAAAATTAGTAATAGTGCCCATCTTTTATTCCATCCTTTTTCTACCACATAACAGTAATTAATACATAAAATAAGATATAAGAAAATTTATTACTATGAAATAACTCTTAAAAACATTGACATTAGAGAGATGTAGGATACCCGGATTTAGCAGCAGACTCTTTAGCGCACAGAAATTTTTGAATGAATAATTTAAATTTTTTTTAAAAAATAATAAGCTATAAGTAAAGACGTGTGATAAAGCTCATAGTCGGCACACTAACAAATTTATTTAGATAAATAAATTAAAAAAAGATCTAGTACTAACTTGGATCCCAATCCAGCAAAGATGCGTCCATCCAACAAGCACCAGCAGAGTATCTAACAACAATTTTGCTCTTTTTCGGCTGTTCGGCTCTGTAAGTTGAAGAGGTTCCAGCCAGGGATCTGACGGCTCTTTTCTTTTTGCCCTTCTTCTTTTTTTTCTTTTCTCCTGTATCCTTATTACTGTCTTCCTTTTTCTTGGTACTGCTATTCACGATATTAGTTATGTTATTATTATCCCTCTCCTTTTCATTAGAGGGGATAACTGGCTTGAATTCGCCCAATTTAGCAGAGCTCGCATTTTTAATATTACTATCAAGGTTTCCCCTAACGCTGCTAACGTTCATAGGTTTGATAACGATGTTTTCTTTAGTCGACGTCGGCAGCGAAGAGTGGTAAATGGATGTTGTTGACGTAGGAAATGGCTTGGACATTTTGGTCACGAGTGAGTAAGCTACGGGGTTAGATTTGGAGAGAGACTTAGGTAACAATAAACCGATGGAAGACTTAGGGGGAGAATGTATAAAAATGGGATTATTAGCATTATTATAATCAAAATTTTAAATGCCAACCAATACATGTAAGAGGTTGTACTATCTCACTTTTTAATCGAAACTTTTCCCAACGTATAAGGCTGCGGGAAAGGGTAATTATTTTTAATATCAGCTGGTCATAAATTAAATTAAATGTGGTCAAAATTTAGAAACTCCTCTTATGTCTAAAGGACTAAAAGGACTAATGCAAGATTGTCTTGTTTCAGTCCAATAAAAGATATAAATTTCTAACCCGATTTTCGGCCTTTGGAATATCGTATTTAACAGAAGGTGCCGCTAATATAACTTTAGATTCTTGTTCAACTACTTCAGAACTTGTAACCTTGAAGAAGAAAAATAACATATATATTATTATGAGATGTTTTATAGGACAAAAAAATTATATTCTATTCATATTATATATATATTGCTCCTAAGGAGGACAAATACTGTCCTAAATGCATCGCCCCGAATGGCCTATTTGGGACGCCTCCAGTTACAGGATAGCGTTTTCTTAAAAATGTCAAACATCTTTTTAAAAAATAAATATCCTATTACAAAATTATTGGATCGCCAGCATTTAAAAATTAAATCGAAGCCCGGCAACCCGCCATTTCTTAGTCAAAGCCAACATGAATGACTATAATCGGTGCACACATGCTTTTATACCACTTAGAGAAAATTAAATTTTGTCATCAATAAATTATAATAAAAAATTATCTGTTTATTTTAGTTATTTATATAAGAGACATTCAATCCATCAAATAAATTATCCAAAGCCATACCTACTCCTTCCTCAAAAAAAAAATACTTTTCAAGATCATAAATAAATTCTTTAAATATTAAACATAAGGTATTGGCTTTTCAACTTATATTGTAAATATTAAGAATATTTTCAATGGACTAATGATTAAGTATTATTTCTCCTAAGCTTGAAAATTTGCTTATCTATTCATTAATCCTATAACTATACATATAAAAATTTGAGGGAAAAAAATGCTGATTTGATTTTATGACCATTTCCGAATTTCTATTTCCAATTGATATTAAAATCTTTTCACAATATCTAACATTATATAACTTTAAAGGCCCACCAAGGCTATATAAAAAAATACAAATGGCGCTTCTAGCTCAATTAAAGATATTCAAAATTAAATGGAGTATATTTTGCCCAAAATGACCCATTTTCCCACATTTAGAGGCCCATGAAGCCGCTATTTAGAGTTGGAGGTAAAGATTTTATTTTTTTCTTAGTTAAAATATATACAAACTCTTGTAAAAATTTTAAAAATATCTTAGGTCAGATTGAAAATAGTGTTTTTTTTGTTGATTTGTCATAGAATTCAATCCCAATATGTATCTTTTCGCAAGTCTAATTACCAATGATGAAGTTTTAGGAGGAAAAGAAATGTATAAAGGGGGAATAAAGTAAAATTAAATGAAAAAAGATTTAGAGGTTAAGTATACATAAATGTGGTGAAACCTAAAAATCAATATAACTTATCATAATTGGCTAAAATAAATAAAAGTTTTAGGTGGAGAATAAATATATATATCTATGTAAATATATAAAAAATATTATATTTAAAAAATATTGGGTTACAAGCAGGGTTGCCATGTCTCCCCCCATCAGTGGGAGTCTCCCACAATTTTTTAGTTTACCCACATACATCTCACTCCCACAAAACTCCCACAAAAAGCTCCCACAATTTTTTAATTTCTCCCACAATTCTTTTTTTAGCATTTTAATGTTTTTAAATATTTAACGACTCCAAAATAGTGCTAACTTTACTTGTGGTAGGACAAAAATGAGCAAGACTATCACAAATGTGTTAGGACCTGAATTCAAGAGGTCAATTCTAGACGAATTGAAAGAAGGACATCCATATGCTATTTTAACAGAGGCATCAAATAAGGGAAATATTAAAACATTTCCCCTGATCCTTCGCTATTTCAACAAGAATAAGGGCATTTCTATAAAACTATTGAAATTTTTTTCATCCGATAGTGAAAAATCCAACGATATAGCTAACCACATAATGGTAAATATAGCTGATTCAGGGTTATCAATGAGTTGCATGTCAGCTTTCTGCGCTGATAATGCCTCTGTAAATTTTGGTAAAAATCAAAGTGTATTTACCGAATTGAGGCAGCACAATAATGAATTAATACCAATTGGCTGTATATGCCATATACTGCATAATTCTTGCAAGAAGGCAATGAATGTACTATCTGTAGATGTCGAAGTAATTGTGATTAGTTCATCAATTAAAAGAGTCACTGAATAAAAGAATTGGTGGAGTGGTTTGATTTGGAATGGTGAGAGTTGTTGCGATATGTACCTATCAGGTGGTTATCATTAATACCTGCCATCGAGAGAATTTTAAAATTTTACGAACCCTTAAAGAAACTTCTTAAATAAAGATTTTAAAAGCTGTCATAAAATTTTGAAAAATTTTTTCGAGGATAAAATATCAGAAGCATATTTGGGATTAGTTTCACATGTAGGAAATCTACTTCATGTAGTTAATATTCAGTTGCAATCAGAAGATTCTTTATTGATAAAGATTCACAAAATCATGCTACAGCTCTGTTCATCTCTACAGTTAAAAATAGATAATAAATTTTATGGCGCTATTGCTAAAAATATCAATTAAAATGTTCAAATATTACTATAATTAACGTATTTTTAAATGAAGCAAATATTTTTAAGACAATTTTGGAATATTTACAATCAAGATTTGATTTTAATAACTCTATTTACAAGTGTGTAAATATTATGACCTTGGAACAGAAACCATCATTTGATAGTTTTTGTAAATTAATAAATATATTAAAATTACCGATAGACATTGAAGCCTTATTTGAAGAGATTGTAATTTTTTCCATTTTTTATGATGCCAGAATACTTAAAGTTAGATGGTCTAAAAACAGAGGAGAAATGGGTGGAATTTTTTCGTAATAACGATAAATCCCCATGCTTGGAAAAAATTTGCGAGTATGTTTTCTCCTTACCTCATTCTAATGCCTCATCGGAGCGCATTTTTAGCCTGATGAGGACTGCCTGGAGAAAGGATAGAATAGAATTGCTTTAACAACATTAGAGGCCGAGTTAATGGTTAAACAAAATTATAAAATGTCATGCCAGGAATTTTATAAATATCTTAATAACGATGGTAAACGTTTAGTTCCATTATTTAAATCTCAAATAAAATATAATTAACTATAACTATTTGACTTTCTATATTTTATAAAATCTTATTTATACATTTGCATAAAATCAAATAAATTTATTTTTTACATTGTAAAATTATATTTTGAATATTTTGGCAAATCATAAAAATAAAGAAGCATTACAATCTCCTCAAACATGACATCATATTAAATCTTATTAATAATTACGATAATAGTAATAATATTCTTACTTTGGTATTTCTGCAGCATAATTTAGTGAACCTTTATTAAATTATATTCTTCTGATTGCAACTGCATATTAACAGCATATAGTAGATTTCCTATATGTAAAATTCCTAAATATACTTCTGCCATTTATTTTTGAAAATTTTTTTCAAAATATTAGGACAGCTTTTATAATCTATTTATTTTTTAAAGGTTTGTAAAATTTTAAAATTCTACGATGGCGCGTATTAGGAGGAACCTGTCAACCAACATTAAGCTGACTCAATTCTGTAAATACACTCTGGTTTTTGCAAAATTCACTGAGGAATTATCAGATCAGAAAGCTGCCATGCAATTCATTGGTAATGCCAAATCTGCCATATTTACCATTATATATGGTTAGCTATGTCTTTGGATATTTCATATCTGGAGAAAAATTTATTAATAGTTTTATTGAAATGACATTAATTTTTTACAATAGGGGAGGATCAAGGGAAATGTTATGATATTTCCTTATTAGATGCATCTCTTAGAATTGCATATGTTTGCACATCTTTCAAATCGTCAAGAATTGACCTTCTGGATTTATATCCTAAAACATTGATGATAGCCTTGCTCATTTGTGTTCTACAAAGTATACTTTTCATTTATATTAGTGGTTAAATATTATGGGGAAAGATTCTACCAACATTGTGATGTTAAGTAGTTCTCTGAATGTTGTACTGCATGATAGGTATTTACCATTTCCGCAACTGTAGTTGCATCTCTATTATTTCTTATTTTTGAAGAATATTTTTGTTTTGCAATAGATGTTGATAGACTGCTCTGTACTGATTTATGCTTTGAAGATTTTTGATGCCTCAAAATATCATATTCCCTTCCCACATTGTATTAACTAAATACTGTAGAACAACTTCCCCGCACTGATTATAATTATTTTTTACATTGTAAATTTAAAATTGTTTGTTTTTTTATAAAATCTTATTTATACATTAGCATAAAATATATTTTTTTACATTGTAAAATTACAATTTTTTTATAAAATTTTATCTTGTTTACATTCTTTTGTATTTAAAAAAGATCGTTGGTTATTATTTATAAACAAAATTAATATATTATAATAAATCAATATGTTATTTTAATAATAAAGATAGTATTTAAGAAATTTTGTGTTCTACTATAATTACCTATTTTGAAAAATAGTTGCGTATTTTATTTTGGAAAATAGTTACCTATTTTATTTTGAAAAAGAGTTGGATATTTTATTTTGATCAATAGTTGGCTATTTTATTTTGAAAAATAGTTGGCTATTTTATTTTGAAAAATAGTTGGCTATTTTATTTTGAAAAATTTGGCTATTTTATTTTAAATAGTTGGCTATTTTATTTTGAAAAATAATTACCTAATTTATTTTGGAAAATAGATTCGAGCCCTCAAAAAAATTTGTTTAGCAATTTTTATATTTCTCCCACAATTTTTATATTACTCCCACAAAATACCGAATTTCTCCCACAATTTGAAAATTTTGACCTGGCAACCCTGGTTACAAGGCTAATGTCGCGTTTGTGAATGTAGTTCCTTTTTTTGATTACGTTCATTCAATTTTAAAAAAATATTCATGTTTTTTGAAAATAAAATATATTAATTTTAAAATATTAAAAATTAATAGGAAAATTTTTTATAAAAAATATTTTTTTATTGATGTAAAACTTTGAATTTTAAACATGGTTAATATATTGTGTTAAAAAATATTTGATATTTATTTATATTAAATTAAATATTGAATGAAATTCTAAAAAAAAAAATTATTAAAATTTTGATTTTTTTTAAAGTGTCTAAATCAGGGGTTCGAACTAAACCCGAACCAGGAAAAGAAAACCCAGGTTATAGGGAAAAAAATTTGAACCCAAACCGAACCTGAACCCCGTTTATAAAATTTTCAAAACCCCAAACCGAACCTTCAAACAGGTTCAGTGTATTGTTTAAATTAATATAAGATATTTGTATAATTGTAAATACAAATATTAATAATTTACTTGACATTTTAAAATATTTCCAAATTACCAATTAAGTGAAATGTTAATAAATTTTAAACAACTTAATTTATTTACTCCATTTTTAAATTTTTTTAAATTTATTCTCAAGATTGTTAATAAATTTTAAACAATTAAATTCATTTACGCCATTTATTTTTAATTTTTAACTTATTCTCAAAGATTATTAATTAGAGGAAAATAAAAGTAAACAAGTCAAGGTAAAAATATTATATTGGATATTGTTAATTTAAAGAAATAAGTCTAAATAAAATTTTTTAAATCTATACATGATATGCTTTGTATTTTTAACTATTTGCCTATATATAAAATAAAAAATTTATTTTTTATACAAAATTTATATCTAGTTTTTTAATTATGATTTAAATACAGAATATTTATTTTTTTTTATCAATTCAAAATTTTTTAAACCCGAGCTGAACAAGGAACCAAACCCGGGTTCAAAAATATTTCCCTGAACCGAACCCAAACCAAACCCACCTATTTATTTAACCTTAAAGCAAACCCAAACCAAACCCAAGCAAAAATTTTGCTGGGTTCGCATCCCTGGTTTAAATTGAGGTTTTTGGCAAGAATAGGTATTGTAAGCATCAGCTGATAAAACATTGATATTAGTAATATTTGTATCTCATGTCACAATGAATAAGTTGGAATTTAATTAATTTAAAAACATTTTTATGCAAATATTAATAACTTTGTAAAAATGTTAAGGCTAGATATTTATTATATCAATTATAACTAACAACTTATATAATTAACATGCAAATAAAAAAAAATACTTTATCATTTTCAACTGGAGGCAATGCAGGTGGTGGAAAGTTCATATTTACTGGATTAATCATTGTATTTTGTGCAAAAGGTTGATTCAAATTACCATAGGGATTTATATAACGATTAAGATTTGGTAAATGTTGAAGTGAAGGATTCATTTGAAACTGATTTTGATGCTGATTAAAGAAGGGAATATTAGGTGGATGAAGTGGCCTAAATGGGGCATTTAATTGAGGTAATTTATTTTTAAGTTGAGGAGGAATAAATTTAGTAACATTATTTGCTTTAGTAATATATTCATTAACAATAGGTTGTTGTTTTCTTAAAAAATTATCTGCATTTGCAGTTTCATTAAATGATTGATGACCTCCAATTGGACCTGGAAATGCTGGATCTAAAAAAAATATTAATCAATATTATGTGACAAGTTTAAATACATTGAGGTTGCATAGTTCCCATAGCAAAATGCAATTCTTGTTCAAATCTAATATAAAAAGGGTAGGTTGAAAAAATTAGGCTGATATAAAATAATACCTCTGCATTTCATCTTGCAAGTTATCTGACATGCTTAAATTTTAAAAGGAGCTTTTTGGTTTTTTTTTCAGAATCAAAACCAGGATTGAAATATTGATTTAATAGAAAATAAAATAGCAGATAATGTAATATTGACAGATGTCAATTACTTTACATATTTCTATCATTTAATTCCAAAATGATACATTGAATTCTTTTCCAAGACTAATATTTAATACCTATACCTAAAAATATAAATATTTTCGAATATAACATTTTTAAGATTGGATTATTTTTTTAATCACCAACTATACTGAAAGAATAAACTACAGAATTTGATGTCATTTTATAAACTTTTTAGAACAATCAACTTACAAAGTTGGACACTACCTCAAATACTTGTATCTAAGATAAAGATCCTTTATCTTGTAGTCAGTATTTTTTTGACATTTTTAAAAAGATACTAGTATCTATATCTAAGATCCTTTATTCTGAAAAGAATTTTGTATTCTTTGAATTTTCTTGACAAAAATTACATATGCAGATTCTTTTTAATATTCATGCTTAAAATATTTTACATATTACAGATTATAACCATTTTTTTGACAACCAAAATTAGCTGGAAAATTTACAATTCTCATTGAGATTAGATACATAAAAATTAACAACATCGAAAGGAAATAAGTAAAGTATATATAAATCAGAGACCTTCAGAGGTACCATTTGTACAGCTCGACACGTATTTTTTTCAAAAATTATAGGACTGGCCCGGCCCAGGGTTTTTTTAAAAAAATTTTTAGGTCTGGCCCGGATTTTTTTAATATATATATTATTTATTTTTGATTTTTATATCTAATAATGGCGATTTCAAATGGCGGATATTTTTTTTAAAAAAATTTCAGACCCGGCCTGGCTTGGGCATATTTAAAAAATTATAATACGGCGGCCGGCCTGCAGGTCTCTGATATAAATTAAATGTTACTCGGAAGAATATAATTAACAATTTTATATTTTTTATTTTGTAGAATGATTAACACTCATGGTAGTGAAAAGGTAGTGAAAGGAAAATTATGGAAATAAGTTCCCCTAGATAAAATCCCTATCCTAAAATTTTATATTTTTAATATTTTAAAGAAAATGCATAGGATGAATGTCAAACCTGTAAACACAGGTGAATGATAAAGGGTCTCCTCTACAAATTTTGTTAAACATATTATAGTATAATACTTATATGATAATTATAAGTTATACTATAATTATATTTTTTTTCAAATTAGAAATACCATTTAGGCATTTAAACACAATATAAACATAAAATAAATAATTCAACCCAGCATATCCGCTTTATTTAATGTCATTAATAAAGTAAAACCATTACGCATAATAAAATTGAAATGGCGTAATGTGAAAATGTATAAAATTAAGGAATACTGTGTCTCGAAGGCTCAAATTTTCTGAAAAGATTAGAGAGATATCAGATGGTAATCAGCTAAAATTTTCATGCATAATCAGGTAGAATAGCCTATACGATAGTATGCCTTCCCTGTTGAAATATAAATCATATTTATATTTTAAAACAATTGATTGTCCCATTATTAAAGAGGCGTATATTTATTGTTAAGACAAACTACAAAAGCAGAGTAGTATAGAATTAGTGCCTATCTATTTGTGGTTATAAGGGATAAGAGTAAGCTTAAAAATTTTAGTAAGGGTAAGCTTAAAAATTTTAGATGCAATCAAGATGGTATTCAAAAGTTTGGAAAATAATTTTTTTTACTTATGATGATATTTATAACAAGGCTTTTTTGGTATTACAATCACATGCACATCTATATCTTAAGAACTTATGAATTAATAAGAAAAATATTTTTTATTATTAAAAGAAGCTCTAAATATAGTACCATCAGTAGTATATAATCAATTTCAAACTATAACATAGAGTTTAATATCTAATACAGAAAATGGAGATCATTTTTATTTTGGTAAAACAAATGTTGCTGAGTTCAATAATAGAAATAATGTTGAGCTGGAAGTTTTAAATTATTTAAAGACCGTCGAAATATATTATCCATTAAAGAATTTTTAGTAAAATATATTACTGCAATATCTTAATCAGCTTCAGTTGAAAGGTTATTTAAATTTGGCACAATGTTAAAGACGCCATAACAGCAAAGGCTTAATGATTAATTATTTGAAAAATTGATTATCTTAAAAAATAATGATTCAATTTAATCTATTTTTTGCAAATTAATATTTCAACTCACCTTAGAAATACTAGCCTCCCTTCCTGACTATGCTATGAATTGATCAAAACTAACAATAAATGGCCTCATTATTGTAATTAAAATATTCTATTAATTATTATAAATATTCATTCTTATTATCTGCTTATGTAATGTTCTTCATTAATAAATAATAAAAATTGAATTTTATAAATTATTGTAAAATAGTATTGATCATTTTATAAAAGCATCTTGTATTAAAGATACTCTCATTGTATCTTGTATCTTTTTAATATTTGAATAAGATACTAGTATCTATATCCAAGATCTATTTTTTTTATAAAAAATCTTTATCTGTATCTTGACTCTTTTTCCGGAGGACCTGCCCAACTCTGTTAACATAATATATATCGCAATTATTTATGTACATCTGTTGCTAGTGTGGGCTTACCTAGGATTTGATAAGGTGGGGGGGGGGGGGAGTTCATTATTAGATTGTATTTTTCACACATATTGAAGGTCTTTAGATTTATTAACTTTAGACCTTTGTCATTTATTTAAAAATATCTAAAAAAATTTAATTATTTACATAATGAGATACTTTATTTAAATAACAAATTTCACAAATTTTTCATTTACGAATTATAATTTAAAAAATATATATATATAAACTAATAATATATTAAAAATGAATTAAAAAATATGCATGTATAAAAGAGAAATGAGATAAAAAAAATAATAATAAAATTTAAAAAAAAAAGGGTACAAATTGTCACAATGAGTGGTTTGTCATTGTGAATCAAAACCTAAATATAAAAAGAAATTAATAATAATTAGGAATGTTGAAAGTAAGGCTTTTGAGACCTAAAATAAAAAAAGAAAACAAATATATATATATAAAAAAGAAATTAATAATAATTAGGAATCACGATATGAAATCAATTTCATCCTTTATTTAAAATTATAACATTATCAAATTAACAAAATTATAAAAGTAAAAATAATAAAAAAAAGAAAAATAAAAATAAAATATAAAATATAAAAAAGTTAATAATCATGAAAGATCTTTTTGTATGGTAAAAATTGGCCTTTTTATACTCTTTTCAATCTTCTTAAAACTAATATTCATAACTATTCAAATATAATATTTTTATCACGCGTTATAATAATAAATCCAAAAGAATTCTTTATGCAAATTAAATATAAAGTACAACAAAATCCAAAAGAAATCTTTATGCAAATTAAATCTAACATTTACAACACCTCCCTACTTAAATTAGACCCAACATTCTGCGAATGATCTATCTTCTTTCAATCTAGACTTATTCTTCTTAATCTTGCTGTCTTCTAAGTTCCAACGAAGGCTGACTCTTGTCTAGTATTCTTAGTTTCGAACGACCGTTTGTATCCGATTGTCGCTTGAAATTTTTGGATTCTATCTTCTGTCGCTTGTCACCCTGGGAAATGATCAGCTTTTTATCTCTGTAGGCCACTGACGAACTTGATAAACGCCTGTTTTTCACGATCCACGCTTGATGAACGATTATCGATGCCATCCAGTTTCATCGTAGCTTGTTTTCTATCATTCTCTTGTAATCCACGATTAGCTTTTTATCTCGATAAACAATTGATTGGTCTGCGATAACGATGGTTTTCACGAATTCTTGTTCCTATAATTGTCGATTTCCGTATCTTAGACTCAAGTCTCGGTAATAATTGGCTATTATTGGTCCACGATTAACGATTGCAGCATAACGTCTTGACCCACTTTTTATCACTTCGCTTGTTTTCTACTTTCTCTTGTAATCGATTGATTGTTGCCTCTAATTCTTATAATCGTATCTATCTTTTAGACTTCCGGATCTTCTAAGACAGTTTGCCCTTGCTGAGATATCGGGTAATCACATCTAATCTACTTCTACCTAAAATAATCTATTTAAATAACTTCTGAAATATTTTATCACTTTTTTATATTTATTCTCAAATATAAACTACCTAATACAAATATACTAATAAAATATATAAATATAACAACTTCATCCTAATGTCTACATTTATCTCCTCTAATCTAATTCTGCCTTTAATAATGGCGTAAATTATACTAATTTTTAAATTTATAAAACGTAGCAAAAATATCTATATAAATTATATAAATATATCAAATTCTATCACCCCGCTCCCCTTTATGAAGCCTAGACCCATATTTTCATTGAAAAATTTACTTGTACTCATCCTTTAGCTATTGATCCTCATCTTCTTTTCAGCCATGTCTATACAAAATTTATATCTAAAAATCCTATTCTAAAATATATATCAAAATCTATCTTTTAAAAAATTATCATTGTGTATTTATTTCCTCATGTACTCTTTGACACTCAAGTCTTTAAAAAAACTGCTGAAATATATAAATCTCTTTTCATACATACCTTGTTGAGAAATCAATGACATCTAATCATAAAAGTCTTCCTACTCACGTTTATGAACAACCTATTAACTCTAATCACTATGGTTTTCACCCCACGTCTTTGAAGAATTTATGAAATCTAATCATTATAATTTTTCGCACAACCGTTGTTGAAAACTGATATGTATATTTCTAAAGCATGTTTTTCTTTCTGTTATTATTAGAATAATGTATAATTGATCTCAAATCTTATCTATGATTCAAAAAAAATAAAAATCCGATCTCTAATTGAGCTCGATTGCGGCATAAATTTTCTAATGACGAAAGCCGTTTCTCTTTATTAAGATTTTTGGTTAATCTACAACCTAATATACTACCTTCACATTAATCCTTGAGGCTGTTTTATCTCTCGCAGCCCTTAAAATAAAAGTTAAACGTAAATCTTCAATAAGAATTTAATCAACTATTTCCTAACAATAAAGTTATATTCTAATCTTATTCAC